ACTAAACCCTCTGTTTTTAATAAAAATGGTTAGTGTAATTTGTATTTTTCCCGGCAAACTTTCCAGCTAGCCAGCAAAAATGTAATTTTGTTTGCTCAGCCCAAAGCCCCTCCATGAGCACCTTAAGCTGGCCATACACTGTGCAAATTTCGTCCTGATGAACCGCTGCCACTCAGCCCTCAACCCTCGACTGAAGAATGAAAGGAATCGGGCAGAAAAGTGTCAGCCTAAAAGAGGCTGCATCAATCATTTGCAGCCACTGTTCCACATTTGCACTGTATAGGATCTGCTGTATGGCCAGCTATATTTTTGAGGTTATAAATTGGGGAGTTGACATTTTTTTCATGATTGTGTTATCTCTCAGCTGGCACCTAAGTCCAGAAAGTAAATGGACTGAACAATGATGAATGATGGCTGAGGACAAAGATGGATCTGTCTTTCTAAAAAAGAAAAGATGAAGGCATTGCCAGGGGAGCACGTGATCTCTGTGAGAGGTAATAGCTGTATGTGTTACACTTACAAATCACTGATCATGCATGCAATTACCATGAAAATACAGTATGTCTGATGCTAGGTCTGCTTAAATATATGTCTAGTAGGAGAGGAGCATGTTGGAAGGGGCGATCACTATTGATAGGAAATTCTGCACTCACTCTTGTACAAAATATGATTTTTTTTCATACGCAAATAAATTTCTAAAAAAATATAAAGAAAGGAAGTTATACCAGCAATATTTTAAAGCCCAAATCGGGGCACAAGAAAAAACACTCATTAGTGGCCCCTCCACACTACAATAGCTAAATTATAGTTTTTTTTCCCTAGGGGTAGAGGGATAAGGGGTTGCTGGTGGTTTTACATGCTTGAAAGAATGTTATTTTGACATTAACCTTCAAAACTAGATATCTTACCCTAACCCAACCATGTGCTTGTCAGCACCAAGTACCGAATTGTTTGGATAATGATATGGCAGTAGTCTTCAACTTATCCATCAGCTTGCCCTACCCCTTTTATGTATAGGTTTTATTATACTGTGTAAACCTATGTAATAGGTGATCATTAAAACCTTTACCAACTCATTGGACCACAGCAGTTCAGTTCATCTAATGGCGCCTCACTGCTCTCTGCTATGTAGCCATTTTGGCAACCAAATGTTAAATTACGAATTCTTTGTTTACATAAACATGAATTAGGTTTAACCACTAGCCTACAGGGCACTTCTACCCCCTTCCTGCCCAGGCCAATTTCCAGCGCTGTTGCACTTTGAATGACAATTGCACGATCATGCAACACTGTACCCATATGAAATTTGTATCATTTTTTTATGACAGAGCTTTATTTTGGTGATATTTAATCACCTCTGGGTTTTTTATTTTTTCTTAAATCAAAAACCACTGAAAATTTTGAAATAAAAAAAAAGTTTTTTCTTAGTTTTTGTTATAAAATTTTGTAAATAAGTGATTTTTCTCCTTCACTGATGTGCGCTAATGAGGCTGCAGTGATGGGCACTGACAGGTGGCACTGATGAGGAGGCATTGATGAGCATTGACAGGCATCACTGATGGGCACTGAAAGGCAGCACTCATATATGGCACGGATAGGCGGCACTGACTAGCATCGATAGGTGGCTCTGATGATCTGTGTACATGTCCCCTCCGAGGAATGCTGATTAGCGTCTCTCCTCTCTCCTCACAAGCTGTCAGCGTGACATCTTGTGGGGAGAGAAATGCCGATAACCGGCATTTCCCTGTTTACATGTGATCAGCCGTAATTGGAAACAGCTGATCACATGACCGAGCCGGCATCTTCGGCTCTTTCCGTGGATCAGTGATCTGCTGTGTCCGAGGGACACCGCCGATCGCCGCACTGCGCGCTTAGAATGGGAGGACGTCATATGATGTCCTCCCAGAACGAGAGAACCACCTTGCGTCCGTCATATTATTATATGGCGGTCGGGAGGTGGTTAAATTCATTCTGCCAGCACAAAATAAAAAACCAAAAACAAAAAAAAGGGACCAAAAAACCCCATCAGCACACTTCTGAAAATGTCAGATACCTGGTACCCTGCTGTGGTTCACCTGCTGCCCACTATGTCTACAGATACAAATTTGTGATGCAGCAGCTGGAGGGCGCTACAACAATGTGCAGCAGGGAACCAGGCATCATCCACTACCAAAATTGTGTCAAATGCTGAGTACTCTTTGCTCAACATAGCTCTGAAAGAGCAAAGTCTGGTGTATTCCTCTTTTTAAATTACGACAGAGTTGCTTTAAGAGGTGACTATATGACTTCTCACGTCAATCAAAAACTTGCATTACACAGCTCTGAGAAACTCTTCTTCCAGCTGCTTTAGCCAGCGAGCAGCCCAGTGGTGTGTATGGTCCCAGCACCTCTGGGCCTGTGTGTGACAGCATGGTCACAGAATATGGCCATCCACGGTTCATGCAGGCAGCTGGATGAAGTGACATCTATTGTGAAATGATACTGCAAAGAGTTCAGTTTAACCTTACTGACATGTAAATCAATAATCCATAGAGGAGATCAAGAGGGTCTTGTGCTGCTGAACCGTTCCCTTTTCTCCTCACATAAACATCTGCCTTATTGGTTCTTGAGCAGCCTTTCAATCATCTCCAGTCTAGACCACCAAGACTTCTTTTTTTATTCTGATGCCTTACGTCTCATGCACATTGGGTGTTTGTTCAGCCTCTCTAATGCCTTCCTGGCAGTAAAAAAGCTGCTAAAAAAAGTGCCTAAAGCTACGTATTGCAAGTGAGTTTAGACGCACTCAGGTGTGTCAAGAGTTTGAGAGTTGCACAGTTTCCCTCTTTTTAATTACAAACATGTTTTACATACTTGCTCTGTGCAATTGTTTTAGACAGAGCAACCCCGATCCTCCTCTTCTGGGCTCCTCCGCATCCCCCCCCGCCTAGTGCCCACAATAGGAAGCCGCTTCCTATGGTGGGTACTTGCAAGCTAGGCTTGTGTCTATTAAGACACACAACCCGGCACAGCCCTACCTCCTTGCTCTCTGCTCACAGGTTTTGACCGACAGCATCAAGAGCCAATGGCTTCCACTGCTCTCAACCAAGCCTGTGAGAGCTGGGAGAGGAGCTGATGCAGACATGTACAGCACTGTATAGTGCTCAGATAAGTATTTTGGGGGGGCGGAGCAGCATGAAAAAAGGTTTTTAGTTTACTGCAGAGAGTGCATTTTACCTGTACAATCACTTGAATGCATTCCACTGGCCAGAATACTAATTTATTCTGTTCACTGGAACGTAATAATGCTCTAATGCCTCTAAACACATTTACCATTTAGATACGTTTACATGCGTATAGGTGAATTAAGCGTTTTTCCTGCTCTTCAGCATCTCCCCTGAGCGCGCTGGTGATTTTTTTTTTTTTTTCAGACTCCAAATGCTTCTCTTCTAATATGCATGTAAATGCCTATGTGCGCATGTAGGGGTTAGCATATGATCCTTGTGACTAGAATATTTATTCAAGGGTTATTTCAAGTTAAAAATGTTAAGAAAGCCTAACCTAGAACAAAGAGCTGTCCTACATACATATCACACGGGATGCCAAATTCGTCAACTGTTCTGCAGACATCAATACCTTTACACATATACTTATGCATTACATTAATAGCTCTTGAACGTTGTTCTGTAGATTTGCCTGCCCTTTTCAGCATTATTTCAGTATAATTTATTATATAATCACTATTAGGCAGGGTAAATATACAAGCTTATTCCTTCAAAGAATTCATTGATCTGTTGCAGTGTGCGACTAGTACAGACTTGTTTCTGCCTCTCCCTGGTAAGAAATCAGAATTCAGGTAAAACAAATTCCTAGACTTCGCCTTTCAAAAGCTGAGAACATAACGACACAGCACAAAATGTGAGACTTATGCAGGCCATAGACAGGGAGAAAACTGGCCGTTTTAAAAAAAAACGGTCGTTCAATAGGCCGATGTTACCACCAACAGTTTAAAAAAAAAACAAAAAAAAAAAAAAACTTTCCAACTTTATTGATCGAAGAAATCTGACAAAATCCAGAGAAACAGCCGACCAATTAACCCATTAATGGTGCGAAAATCAGCCGATTTTTTTTTCAGATGAAAAATCGGCCGATTTTCAACCTATCTATGGCCTGCATAAGACCTGCCAGTTGCCTACCCACTGTGAACAACATTAGGCCTTAATTACTACTGTTCTCTCAGCGATGGTCAGAACCAACATCCTACACCACCCTTCTTGTCCCTCTGCACTAACCCAGCAGAGCTGACCTTGCATGTATGTGGCGTGTGCATGCATGTTTGTTGCACTTGAATGGCTGTGGGCAGGGACAGATATAAGATGCTGCTGGGCTGATTCAGGATTAGCCAGGGCGTGTCTGGATTGGTCCCATTATGTCCAGATGCAATCATTTTGGGGGACAATGCCAAAGTCCAATCCTTTCAGAGGACTACTCTTATATGCAATCCTTTAGTGGAGCTACTCTTCTATCCAGTATTTCCATGGGACTAATCCTTATATAGTACACTCATGCGAACGAGGTCTGTCAATGCAAAGGTCGTGTTCACCCGCTCAGGGATGTGCAGGTGTTCCGTGCATCAGTGTGCAGGCAGTCCCATTCTTGTCTGTGGCAGGGGATGTGCATCTGCACTCGCACAGCTATCAAACAGGGAGCAGCGGCTGCATCCTAATTGACACAAATGTGACTGCCTGCATGGGGATGCATGGAACAGCTGTGCATCCTCATGCAGGCAAACACGGCCCTAGCACGGGCATATACTTTATAGTATGCCCAATGTAAACAAGGCATAAACTTTAATTTTTAATGACGGTTATAACCTAGAATTTGTTTTTCATCCAGGGACAGCAGCAGGATACCAGTTCAACTCAACTGCTTGTTTCTAGTAGTGTAATTTGTTTGAAAGCTCTAGCCGTAATGTGTTGGAAGATTGAGTTGATTTCTATTTATTAACAGCGCTTGTAGCTTACCTGGACGGTTAGTGGCAGCCATGATAAAAACTTGACGTCTACTTTCCAGTCCATCCATCTCGGTAAGCAACTGATTAACAACTCTCACACTGGCTCCCGACTAAAAGAGAAGAGAAAAGGGTCTGAGAAAAATAAATATGAACCTAGGATGACAGAAAAGAGCCCATAAATGCAACATCAAAACTTTCTTCCATCTAATAACTGCAATGTGTAGTTACTGGCACAAATCCTTTCCATATTAAACAACAGCTATAAAAAGTATCTCTCCCATCCTAAAAAAAAAAACAAACAAAAAAAAAACAAAAATAAAAATCTCACAATAAAAGCTATTAGTTTACAGCACTTGAGCATTCTTTGCCTATCCACAGTCTGGGAAGGCAAATAAGGAAATTTTCAGCATGTATCACAGATACTCTGAAGCACAGTGTACATGTTTGCCAAAAGAATGGATTTACACATTTTCAGGAATATCTATATTTGCACTTTAAAACAAAGTATATTACCTTTTGTCCTCCCCCCGACCCAAAAGAAACCCACCTTTGCCATACAGATGCTTAGCTCTGCAGACCTGCAGTGTTTCACAATGTTTACATTCTTCCGTATAAATTTCCTTGTGCCAGACATGACTGTACAGTAGATCTTGAGGCTTCTGTGGGACTGTCACCCAAGTGACATGGCCCCAGAGAAGTCTCTAATGGTACTACCACACAATTGTGACCAATGCAGAGCGGATTTTAGCAATGACCTTGCCAAAGGCCACGGGTAGAGGTAAGTGAGCATCTGGAGTGGGAGAAAAAAAAAAGGATAAGTGCACTATGAAAGCGAACTTACTGTTCGCCTGGTTGGGAAGGACAGTTGGGAAAATTAAAATGTTCTCAGGAAAATGGCACTCATGAAATCTCACACAATCAGAGTGAAGGTTTTCTGGGGAAGATCCTTGCTGGTAGAAAAGGGAGTGATGATATTTTATATATAAAATTTGAGAAAGGTGGTAGTAGGTTGTTCCATGGAATTGGTGTAGGTGACATACGCATTACAAATGGCCAAATGAAAAAGGTAAATTGCAACTTTTTTTGTACCAGAAATGGGTACCTTTTTGTTGCTAAATAGGTCTGTAGCATCTGATCGTTGAAATTCACCCCCCCCCCCCCCCATGTAGAGATTATAATCTTGGATGCATACAGGCTTTTGGTTGGGACTGTCTCTTAAAGGAATTTCCACCGAGGTGTCATTGTGGATGGTGAACAGGACATACACATCTTTTATCCCTCCACTTGACGGCCAACACTTTGTCGTTCCTCAGAGTCACTGATTCCCCCTTTGTAGCCTTCTGGCCACGACACTTTGTGGGAAGCCCAGCCTGTTCTTTCGGATAGCACCGCAGGCCAAGGTTTTCTAGAGGTGGAGGTGGCAGAAAAGGGGCAGACTTGTATAGAAGTTATCCACATAGATGTAATACCCCTTTTTGAAAAGTGGAAATGCCAGGTCCCAGACAAATTTTTCCACTTGTGCTGCTGTAGGTTCGGCACTCAGGGGGTTGGAGCTGGGAATATTTGCCTTTGTACACGTGGAACGCATACATATATCCCATGGCTCTTTCACAAAGCCTGCAGAGCTTTACTCCATATCTGGCTCACTGGGAGTGTATTGCTTAATTCCCAGCTGGCCAGTGAAGTAGACAAGGGACTCATCCACACAGACGTTTTGGTCAGAGACATAAACTTCAGCAAATCTCTGGGAAAAAAAATTAATTAGTGGGAACATTTTGTATAGTTTGTCGTAGCAAGGCTGATCTTAGGAGGGCACTGTGTATAGTCAATGAAATGAAGAAAGCGAATGATCATCTCATAACGTAACCAGGGCATTACAGCTGAATATATGGGCATGTGATGGATGGACCAGTAAGCATGTCCTTCATCTTTTTGTAAGCCCCATGTTAACTGTGAGGCCCAAAAATAATGTTAACTTCACCACTGTGAGATGTCTCCATTCAACTGTATGGACATAACATGAATTGGGGTTGTTTTCAATATATTGCTGGGCAAAAAGATTGGAATGGTTCATAAACAACTGAAGTTAACGGTCAGGCAAAAATAAATAATAATAATAAAAAAAAATTCTGAAAAATTTTCATTGTTGGCCTGCACACCTGGCAGTGAAAGGGGGGAATACTTGCTGATCCAGAGTTAGAGGGCATCCATAATGGGTCTGCAAGAGTGTCTGGGAGAGTTGTATGGGCCCTAATTCTTAGGCTCTGATGTGATATTCCAGCGCTAGTACTGGGCTTTTCATCCAGGGGTCTAGAGCTGCTGGTGATTGCCAGTTCACCATTGGGGTGTATGGCGCTGCTGGTGGCTGCCTGGTTTTCAGTGCACCTTATTCTTTTAGGAGGGATGGTTTCCTCCTCTGATTCAGTCGTTGATCCACTACGTTCGATGGGTTTTTTACGCCAAATTGGACAGTGAGAGTTTACTGCTGCTATCATCCATCATACTCAGGATTTGAAATGCCTTTTTGATAGAAATTTTGGACATGGCTGGCTCTGGTGACACTGGGACAGGTAGACTGCTGTTCGTGGCTGTGTAATGGTTACTCTGCTGATAGGAGGTTGTGCGACCAGTACACTACTGATGGGCGGCTGTGTAATGGGTAATGTGTGAAAGGTACACTGCTGATGGCGGCACGGATGGGTGATGTGCAACAAGTATACTGCTGATGGGCACTGATGGGCGACAGGTACACTGCTGATAGCGGCACGGATGGGTGATGTGTGACAAGTATACTGCTGATGGGCGACAGGTGCACTGCTGATAGCGGCACGTATGAGTGATGTGTGACAAGTATACTGATGTGTGACAAGTATATGCTGATGGGGCGACAGTATGCTGATGCGGCATGGTGACAAGTATACTGCTGATAGGCGACAGGTACACTGCTGATAGCGGCACGGATGGGTGATGTGTGACAAGTATACTGCTGATGGGCGACAAGTATACTGCTGATGGGCGACAGGTACACTGCTGATAGCGGCACGGATGGGTGATGTGTGACAAGTATACTGCTGATGGGCGACAAGTATACTGCTGATGGGCGACAGGTACACTGCTGATAGCGGCACAGATGGGTGATGTGTGACAAGTATACTGCTGATGGGCGACAGGTATACTGCTGATGGGCACTGATGGGTAATATGTGACAGGTACTCTGTATTCTGGGGCAATTGGATGCTGTGCAGTATTTACAGTGACAGATCGGTAACTCATGGTTCCCTGGGCTCTCCTCTCCCAAGATGTGTGTGTGAGGAGAAGAAGCTGGTGACAGTGGGTTACTGGTCTTTCTTTACACTTGTGATCGGCTATGATTGGACATGCATGCAGAAAGTTATTTGTTACTGTAATGCATAGAATATATTGAGGAAAAACCCTTCTGCCTTTAGAACCACTTTAAATTTCCTGCATAAGGGATTTTTACCATGGCTTTGATACCGTACATTTTTAAAAACTTGACCTTTAATTGCACGTTACCATACTTCTGTGCTTTGTACAGATTTCTTTAAATGCCAAAAGGACTTTACATTCCATCCACCAGGATCAGTAAAGAAAAAAAAAAAAAAAAAAGAATAAAAAGGCCTAGTTCAAATACTAATCTTTGCAGTACACTGCTGCTATCATTAGCCTGAATTATATGCTTCAGCTACAATTAACCTTTGTCTCCTATCCTTTCACCAGTAGACTGTAGCCTGTATTGTATGTCAGTCTGCCTATTACAATATAAACAAGGTTTGTTTAAACTCCTTGCTCATAGAAAAGACATTTTCACAAAATGGTGTTTGCAGTTCTAATGTCCCAGCTGTATGTAAATGTATTACTACAATGCAATCTCCAGCAATATTATTTGTCAAATTGTGTAATGTTTTCTTAACGTGTACCAGTCCCTCGTACAGATACAGAACAAAAAATACACACACACACACACACACACACACACACACGATGAAAAATAGTTGATGGCTGCAGCCATAAATGGAAACTAAAGTCTTTTAAATGTTTCTCTAAATATACTGTACATATGAAAGATGACTAAAAACATGTTTTTTTTTTTTATTTGTGATCTAAGCTGCCTAGGCTGAGAGCAAGGGAATAGAAGCCAGTTTTAAATTTTATTAGCAGTAAGATGCACGCTTCCTATAAAAATAATCATAAAAACCATAATAATTATGAGACGGACGCTTTGCCGATTCATATCAAGAGTGAATTTTAATGCTATGGCCACATTACAGCTCAGATCACAAAGAAATAGATTAACTGCTTGTAACTTCTTTGGTTACAAACAAGTCTCAAACTAACTTCTAAAAAAAAAAAAAAAAAAAAAAATGCTAAAATTAGTTTGCAAAAGATGGCCCAGTCACAATTGGAAATGAACAATGAAATAAAGATGGCTATGGTCACTCTGCTGTGTAACAGAACTTCCAACTGATATTCTCAACACCAACCATAGGAGTCTCTCTGCACACCCTGAAACATTACTTTAATGCAATCTGTGCATTAACCACAAAAAAACAAATTAACTAACATCTCAATACTTACCAGATCTGTACAATGGAATTGCAGAGTGGCCGCAAACCTTCTCTTCTCAGGTCCGCACCGGCACTCCTGGCCCCTCCTCTCTATCCAGTGCCCCCACAGGAAGCCGCTTCCCAAGTGGGCACTCATGCATGCTTGATCCTGAGCCCAGCTGCTGCATCCATTGACACACATAGCGGGATTCTTCCCCGCTCCCTCATCAGTGGCTTTGATTGACAGTGCTGAGAGCCAATGGTTCCCAATGCCCCAGCAAAGCTAGCAAGACATGGAAGTGAGAGGAGAGAGCTTCAGATGTGCACAGTGCTGGATCTAATGAGGGCTGAGGTGTGTAAAAGGGGGAGTGGGGGGGGGGGGGATGCTGATGATACATAAACATTTTTTTACCTTAATGCAAGGAAAATTAAGGTAAAAAAATGTTTAGGCTTTAGAACCACTCTAAGGACCAGTCTTTTTCTGGCACTTTTTGTTCACATGAATCAGTATTTTAGCTAGAAAAAATACTTTTTTTTTTTATACTGTCACTTTAAAAAAAGAAAAAAAAAAAAAAATGTAAACATCCCTTGTGACAAGGTACTCTTTATGAAAGGATCTGGGGTCAATAGGACCCCAAATCCCTCCTATGCCCTTAAAAGCGTTCAATCACACCAAGATCGGTGTGACTGAATGCTTTTATTTTTTTTAAAAATGGCGCCGTGAATTTCCAAGTAAACTGGAAGTGATGTCAGGGCATTGCTTTGTTTGGCTCCATGACCAGTCCATAGCAGCTCCAGTACGTCCCCTCCCACTGCTTGTAATAGTGATCAAGTGGCCAGTTAAGCCGCTCTGATGTTTATCACAAGAAAGCCGACCATCTGCTGCAAATAACAGGCATCATCCCGGTACTAACCATTTGAAGACCGGTGACGTACCAGGTACGCAACTGTTTGATAAGTGGTTAAGTTAAAAACCTTCCAATATCAGTTTCACTCCACCTTGAGCCTTTACAACAACTTTAAGCATTGAAAATAAAACCTGGAAAATGATTGGTTTCTATGTAGAGCTGCACCAGATTTTGCACAATTCAGTTTTGGTAAATCCCCTCCATATGCGCTCCAAACAAGGGATTCTCAAATATAGAGTTAGGACCGCAGTATACAGAGGAGACTTTGCAAGGCACTACGGTTTTCACATATATTTGCAAATGTCTGCAACTAAACCCTCTGTTTTTAATGTATGCTGCTAAATGGAGTCAATTTAGTTTCTTTGCAGGAAGGCTGGTAAGTGTGATGGGAAAAATGTTTTGGTTGTTTGTGACAGCCATTAACACCCCTGATCCATTTTGTTGCAATTTTAAGAAGCACTTTAAATTTTTGTCTGGGCAAAATAAATATATATTCAGTAAAACTCTCCAATATGTGTACATTTCCCCATGGTTTATTAATTTAAAATACTGCTAGTACTTGTTAATCTGCAAGAAAACCCTTGATTGCCTAAATTCCTATTTAATTTACATCACAATGCCTTTGCTGCATCAAAATCCCCAAGCAGCCTGCTGGACCACAGAACTGTTTTCTGTCTCTCCCCATGTGCATTATTCGATTTATTTTCTAGCAAAACAATGCTGCTGCCTTGACTCTCAAGATCCTGCCCACACCACCATATAGGAAAAGGGATCTTGAGTGATGTAGTTTTGCATACTTATGTCAATAGGAAATTATCTCCAAGCAGGTACCCCTGAAAGACTATGTAAATGGAGTAATATAAGCTGTCTGTCACTATAGGAAGGCTGTCTATCACAAAATGACAAGACAGCAACAGTCTTTACAAAAAGGGACCATTGAAACCCTTTAAGTGAACCTGTGAGCCATACTGGCAAATGTAAGTAAAAAGTCCAAAAAAAGAAAAAAAAAAACCCCCCTCAAAAACACACAAAAGAGAGGGAAAAAAAAACCAAAAACATACCTCATGGCCTGACCTTCGGGGACACAAGGCATCAATTTCATCAAAAAATATTACGCAGGGGGAGGAGTTTGAAGCTCTCTGGAAAACCTGCCGAACAGCTCGCTCACTTTCACCAACGTACTGAAATGAAAACAAGCCAATTCAAAGAGTAAGCACTAGCTGGCTTATTTCAGAAGGTAACGGAAAATAAAATGCTATGTACAAATCCAGCAACACCAAATATACACATTTTAGGCTTGGAGTGACTGGGAAGACACTGCTCCTAAGCAAATATAGGCTCCTGCTCCTGACTGTCAGGTGCCAGATCAAAGCTGATTCAGGCTCCCCTCAGTTAAGTTCACAGACGAAAAAAAATCTAGTATCCAGTGAATCAAAGCCACTCCTAGAACCCCTTCTCAATTGCCTTTCATCCTAGGACAGGCTTAAAGGATAAGTTCACCTTTAGTAACATGTTACACCTATATTCAGGGTGTAACATGTAACATGTTACTAAAGCACCTGCCTGCACCTTGACCCGTCCCTCATTGTGACAGTGGGCGGGAGATCTGCTCCCCACTGTCACAATCTTAAAACAGCTCTGCTCTGCCCACACAACTGCATCGTTCATTCACAGAGTTCTGTGTTTGAATGAACTACATGTACCCGCTTCCACTACTGCAGATGGCTTGTAGTTCTCAATTAACTGTGAGGGCGCGGATGAGAACGCTCATAGTTCACTGATACCTCCTGGACTTTAGTAACTTTCTGCCTGTAAGGGTAGACAGCTATACTGCGAGTCTGCAGGAGCCGGACACTGTACTAGCGAGCGGATTGCAGGTGCAATACTCTGCACACTCCTAAGACCTTTTCCTTCTGCTATTTGTATTTTTTTTTTTTAAGTGTGTCAAAAAAAAAAAACCCTTTTCGGATAGTTTTTAGTTTTGATAAATTGGTGAGAGGTTAGACTCTTTGTCAGGTTTGCTAGAAGACTTGATTTATCATATACTACTCTTAAATCATAAAAAGTACAAAACTGGATTAAAGAGAGACAGTCACCTTACCCATGCAGGGCAAAGTGATAGGGTCTCTGCAATGGACATGCCTGACTCCCTTATACTTCCCCTTACCTGCGCTCCCTCAAAGCTCCTTCCTCTTGTACAGAGAACACTAAACTTTTCTGTGTCAGATACCCAGGGAAGCAATGACATCACTCCATAGGTCAATTGTCTGCTAAGCCTGGGTACCATCAACATGTGAGCAGATCACATTCTTCCCCCATACCCACTACTCTGATATTTTGGCTGGCCCCAGAGGAGCAAGGGGCTGCAAGGTAAGGTAAGTAAGTATAGTGAGAAGGGGAGTGCCCTTGAAAGAGACACTGTCACCTTGCCAACGCAGAGCAAAGTGACAGCGGTTCTGCTAAGGGTGTCTGCAAATTTGCCTGTAATTGAGTTTAGGTTGTTTCAGTTTTGGTATTAACAGTCCATATAGAATACGGTAGTGGATCTACCATGTACAAAACTCACCATATTCAGCAGCTCAGGGCCCTTCACAGAGATAAAATTGAGTCCAGATTCATTGGCAACTGCCTAAAATAATTTAAAAATGACTTGTAAGAAAACTGAATTTTTATTTACCCCTTTCCACATAAATACACTCACCCTAGATAAACAGACTATGCGCTTGCAATAGGGCAAAACACAGATGGAAATACATTTCTTTGGGAAAGATTGATGTATGTCCAGTAACGTATGCAGGAACCTCTTTTGCGATAATATGGCTTTTGTATGTTTTTCCACCAAATCAATTTTATTTAAATAGTAACAACTCAGACACATTAACATTACAAAGAGCAGATTTCTGGAGAAACGCCAAGAGTTGATTCTGCTTAATGAAAAACACAAAGAAACAAAGGTTAGCTTACTTTTGCAAGTAAGGTTTTCCCACAGCCAGGGGGCCCTGCAAGCAAAACACCAGCTGGAGCCATAAGGCCAAGAGCCTTGAATAGTTCTGGATTCCTTACAGGAGCCTGGAGGGACAAAAATAAATTACAATAAAAAAATTACTTTTTGTACTAAATTTTAAGAATCAGATAGAGCAACCTTTCTCATTTCTCCTTAACCTTTGCAGCTTAAGTGGGAGGGGTACAAACATGACTCAACTGCATGTTTTTACCATTCACCCACCTGCAAATGTTAATGAGCCCTTAAAAGTACAACAAGTTGACTCTTTTGAGGAGAACCTATTCTCTCTGTGAGTCAGGATATTTCTTCTATCAGTTGAAATTTGCTGCAAGCAAACCACCACCACATCAGGACTCACCAGTATGGCCATCGTCAGCTCCTCCCGGATCTCTTCTAGAGCTCCTATGTCAGCCCAGGTCACATCAGGCACTGTGGCAAAACCTTCTCTTTTGGCAGAGGGTTGTACAGCAGGCAGGGCACTCAGGAAGTCAGACATCTCGATACAGAGGCCAAGGAGATGCTCCTCAGGAAATGGGGTCTCCTCCTTGAGGACTTCAAGGAGTCTCTGTAGCTCATCCTGGGAAAAAAAAAAAAAAACAGCTTGGTGATCCTCAATCCCTTTATGACAGAATGCATTTGAACCTTTGTGACCATAGCAATTTATACAGCTCTGCCACACAGCAAAACCCTGTCAACCAGGGAAAGGTATCGGATTTTGGACTAGCTGCAATTTTACTTTCATTTATGGACTTCCTCTCCACTTTCACCCTGTAATTGGATAATAAAGCATCATGTTGATAAATTCATCTCTCTGCCATTCTTCTCTCTAATGCATGATACCTGAATGGCTCCTTGTGCTGCTTCTACCTGCCCAAGTATGAGCTATGCTATGCAGAGACTGCAAGAGGTTGATACCAGGCCAAATTCAAGTACTTACATTCTATGCATTTAAAAATATACATTTAATGATGTATTAATGAAAGCTGCATTAATGCGTGTCTCTTATAGACATTAAAAATTTCAGCTTTAATGCATCACCGCTTATATACTGGAAGTGTACCTGATTGGGTTGTCCATTTTTGACTTTTAACACTGATGTTTCTTCCAGTGGAGAGCTCTGTTCAGTTGAAACTTCGTTGGCTTTAAAGTCCCGTAGCTGGATCAATACTCTGTTCACAGCACCCATCGCAGCTTCCCGACAAAGTGCCATCAGGTCTGCACCAACATACCCTGGCGTTAAGTGAGCCAGATGCTGGTAGTCAAAAGAGTCAGGGAGCCTCAACTTCCGGCACAAGGTCTGCAGAATCCTGTGCGGGATTACATGAAGTGCAAGAGAAAATTGTATTAAAAAAAAACACTTTTCACACATGGTAATCACCTATAACAAATTTACTTTTATGTAGGTTTTAAAGTAGCATTCAACCTTCTTGTCTGTTTTTTTTTTCTTTAAAGTATTTGCTTTTTTCATAGTAACTTACGGTCTCTTATTTTGTTCTATGTCCTAATGGACCAATGTGGCTTTTTTGAACTTTCAGTTGGGGAGCGCGCACTGTAGAGGTCATATGACAACTCATACCAGGAGTACTTGGTTCCTCATCCCCATCGATAACATGATCCGTGCACATCTCCTTCCCAGACCTGCCCACATCATGAATAAATATGGTCCCTTACCCCCAAAGATAAAATAGCGCATAGACAGCACATTATGGTCACAAGCCTCCAGTGCATTTTTGTCCTGAAGTGTGCACGGTAAGCTGGCCATACGCTAATTAATCTTTATTTTTTGTTCAACCAGTAGGTTGAATTAAAAAAAAAAAAAAAAAAAAAAAGACCCAATTCCCCCATCCACACACTTCCGCTGTGCTGTTGTGTTCTGACAGCTGAAAGCATTTCAGCTGGGAGGGGGCTGTCTTAGGGAACCAAATAGCTTACAGGTGTGATAAGAAAATTTAACATTTTTACAAAGCTTTTTTTAATGTTTCCATTATGAAACATTAATCTTCCAGGATGAAGAAGAAGAAGAGGATGAAGAAGAAGAAGAAGAGGATGAAGAAGAAGAAGAAGAAGAGATGAAGAAGAAGAAGAAAGAAGAAGAGAGAATGAAGAAGAAGAAGAGGAGAAGAAGAAGAAGAAGAAGAGGATGAAGAAGAAGAAGAAGAAGATGAAGAAGAAGAAGAAGAAGAGGATGAAGAAGAAGAAGAAGAAGAGGATGAAGAAGAAGAAGAAGAGGATGAAGTAGAAGAAGAATTCCAGTCCGGCAAAAAAAGTGTCCCTGCAGAGAGCTCCGCTATTTCTTTGACAGTGCTTTGACATTTATAGCAGCTGCAACAATGTATCTATTTGTATCCATTTCGGATACACGTTTTTATTTGGAAACAAATAGATACATTGTTGCAGCCGCTATAAATGTCAAAGCACTGTCAAAGAAATAGCGGAGCTCTCTGCAGGGACACTTTTTGCCGGACTGGAATTCTTCTTCTTCATCCTCTTCTTCTTCTTCTTCTTCATCCTCTTCTTCTTCATCCTCATCCTCTTCTTCTTCTTCTTCATCCTCATCCTCTTCTTCTTCTCCTCATCTTCTTCTTCATCCTCTTCTTCTTCTTCTTCCTCTTCTTCTTCTTCTCTCTTCTTCTTCTTTATCCTCTTCTTCTTCTTCTTCATCCTCTTCTTCTCATCCTCATCCTCTTCTTCTTCCTCATCCTCTTCTTCTTCATCATCCTCTTCTTCTTCATCCTCTTCTTCCTCTCTTCATCCTCTTCCTCATCCTCATCTTCATCCTCATCCTCCTCTTCATCCTCATCCTCCTCTTCCCTCATCCTCCTCATCCTCATCCTCTTCATCCCTCATCCTCTTCTCATCCTCATCCTCTTCATTCATCCTCTCATCCTCATCTCTTCTTCTTCATCCTCATCCTCTTCTTCTTCATCCTCATCTTTTTGCCTTCCTCTCGCAGGTCACTGCTCATGCGCAGAGTTTTTTTTGGTTTGCCCATAATTGCTGCGAAAATCGGCCGATCGGCAGAATCGGCCGATCTTTTTCCAACTTTACCAATAAAAAAAATCTGCCAAAATGCCAAAAAACGGCCGAACAATTAACCCACTAACGATCCGAAAATCAACCGATTTTATTTTCGGCCGAAAAATCGGCCGATTTTCGACCCATCTATGGCCTGCATTAGCCTATAAATTTCTTTAGTCCAGTGACTTTGCTTGGCTGAGAAAATGTCAGTCTGCAGCAGGAAGAAATTCCTCAGTCAGAAGACTGCAACATTGTATCTTTATAGCAAGTCACAAAGTGATATTCAGATATTTGTGAACACTGCCAAGTACCGACAGGCACCAGGAGTTAAAGTGGAACTTCCTCTTTTGAGTGGAGCCCTGCTTTAAGTCTTTGTCCCCCGCATCTGAAACACTGGTTATACCCAAGTTGATCAATGGATTGACTTGGGTACAACCAGCCTACCTATAGATGGATTGGATCTCAACTGGTCCCTGCTGAACCAACCGGGATTTGATACATCTCTGAGCTGGCATCTCAGTCCAGGAAGTATATGCTGACCCTGGATGATGCCTGAACCAAGATGGTGGTGTCCCTCTGTAGATAAAAAGCATTAAGCATGAGAGCAGGTGTAACAGACTTTACAGTTCAGGGGTGAACTGGACAGGGATGATAATATTACTTCAAATAACACTGCAGAACACACTTGAGAGTATCAATTAGCACTTTTTTGCACTTATTGAACAGGTAGAACAAAATGTTATCAATGGTATATTTAAACAGACCAAAAGGGATGTAAGGTTTACGTGCACTTTAAATTCGACTTGAAGAAAAAGTTCAGCTTGTGTAAAGTTCCAAGAGGCTCCACAGCAGGGTTGACGTCGTCTGTAAATTTACTGACAGTCCGTAAATTTTATCCCATTTACAGGCTTTCGGTAAATGCCCGTTCCAGATGTTGGCCATCCATAAGAAACATGGCTTTGGGTCGACTTTGGAACTGTGCAGCTCCAAATCAACCCGGGCAAGCTCTGACATTTTCGGCTGTGCTCGAGCAGGGCTGCGAACGCGCAGTTTAAAGCCGACCCGCTCTGCAATTTCAGGCTGTTCTCAGGCAGGCCTGTGAATGCGCAGTTTAAAGCCGGCCATTTTCAGCTGTTCTTGGGCGGGTATATGCGCAGTGATGTCATGGCGTTGCTTTGCGCCAATAATGAATGGACTTGCCACCTGGAGACCGGCATATGCCACGAATTCTCATCAAACATGATCTCTATAGTGTGCTGCTGGAGTTATGACACAGACAGGAAGGACTGTCTCTTTTTTGAGTCCGGAACTTGGACCACTCCATGAGTACTCACCATTTCCTGTATCCTCTCCGACCGCCTCCTGTACCATTGTCTGCGGTCTCCGACCGCCTCCTGTACCATTGTCTGCGGTCTCCGACCGCCTCCTGTACCATTGTCTGCGGTCTCCGACCGCCTCCTGTACCATTTGTCTGCGGTCTCCGACCGCCTCCTGTACCATTGTCTGCGGTCTCCGACCGCCTCCTGTACCATTGTCTGCGGTCTCCGACCGCCTCCTGTACCATTGTCTGCGGTCACCGACCGCCTCCTGTACCATTGTCTGCGGTCTCCGACCGCCTCCTGTACCATTGTCTGCAACCAGAGTCATGAAACCAGAGCCGCCAAGCTGGAGTAAGCAGAGGACCTTTTTACTGAACGCTGCACAGTGGGGGGGCTGACTCATGTAAGGGAAAAGTAAATACAGCAAGGTAAGGGGGGGCACTGATATAAAGGTTCCCCCTTCTATCAGTGACCCCTTACCTTAGTGTATTCACTCTGTGGAATGATCTATGGTCACACAGTCCCCACCACATCAGAGTTCCCAGTGTTCCCCCTAAATCAGTGTCCTGATTCCCCTTTATATCAGAGTCTGCGGGATTCCCCATTACAGTGCAAGGGGGAACTCTGATGTAAAAGGCAACACTGCAGACTCTGATGTAAATGGGACCTATGATTTAAAGGAGAAATCTATGGACTCTGATTAAGGTAGGGCTCTAGTGACCAGAGACCACCTTATATCAGAGTTCCCCCTTAGGCAAAATGTCTGCAAGCAGTCCCCTTACATCATGATCTGCAGTGTTCCCCTTTACATCAGATTTCCCCTTGCACTGTAAGTGGGAATCCAGCAGACTCTGATTTAAGGGGGAACTCTGTGCTGCCTGGGTTATATTAACCGTACCTTAAAGGAAATGGATAAATATGGATTTTGACTTTTCTTTTATCCAGAAAACATTGCCACTTAAAATGGTGTTTTTATGTACTTTTTTTTTTTTTTTTTAAGTGTCAGTAAACATTGTGACTCTGTCAGTACAAAATAATTTTTGGTGCCGTTTGTAAATTTTGGGGGTCCTGTCATTAAATTTCACTTCGGGGGGGGGGGATTGGTAAAACTGTTCCACAGAGACATAGATCAAGCAGAGTGTGGTGCCTGCACTTTAGCACATTTTACATAAGGTCCTTTTCTAGAGAATTTGGGTTCATTTTAAGTGTCAAGGATGGTGCAATGCTGGAAACTGCCCTTGTCAAAGTACATTTAAAATCTTCTCTTTATCTAATGTTATTTTCATGCAGCTTTGCTATCAAGCCTACTGTTTTCCTGCAGAGGAGATAAAGCAAAGGTCACATTAAGCACCAATGTCTGAGTGTGAAGTGCTAACTCAGGAAAGTCACACCTTTACAAGGAGCCTAAAGGAATAGAGCTGGACAAAGTCTGAAATTTCTGATAAACGTACAGGACCATAGGACACAATTTATGCAAAATTCCTGAAGAAAGTTTGAGGTTTAAACGATAACCCTCTTTTATGGCCAACTTAAAATGTATTTAATCTTTTGCAGCAAAATTGGGGTAACACCTATATTGATTTTGTGTTCTCATTAACATGAACTTTAAGATTTTTTTAGCAAGATTAAGCACTCAAAAAGGTAACAAGCTATTTTTTAAAAAAAATGTTTAATGCTCTCCCTGCTTTGTATTGTTGGGAATGGGGCTGTGGAGTAATGTTTAGCATAATTAGCCCTGTCTGTACTGTGTTTGCATTTCTTCATTATCAGCTCTAAACTAAATTTTAGCACTGCCTGTCCAAACAAAGAGTTACAAATGTAGAAACCACCACCCCCATATATGTATGTTGTATGTTAATGAGGGACAGCTTGTATGTTAATGAGGGACAGCTCACTCTGTGTGGGGACAAGACACTGTGAAATTGACCATACATGCATCGAAGTTTGTCTGGTTGTGCAGGGACCAGCCAAATTTTGACCAATGTATTGGCAGGTTGCCCCAGGGGTGCTCTTAGTAACACATGGGGGTGCAATCCAAGTGTGAAAAGTGCACATGGTCACTGCTCTAAACACTTTTTCTGCACAGCGCCTTTTAGGGCTAGGCCTTTTGGCTAAGTCCAGGGCAATGTTTTTGCCACAGGCCTCAGGGCCTAGCCAGTGCACAATTGCACGGTAACTTATTTTTTCCTCACGGTTTGTCACCTTTCACTTAAGTGTGTGTTTTGTTCTCACTTGGATGGAGGGTGTGTTTCCTTGAGCCTGCCCTGAAGTCTAGGGGGAGGATGTGCAGCCCTTAGGTTCCTTCCTCCCCTGTTCCTTGGGGCTCTTTGGGAGAGCTCCCTGACCTAGTACTTTGTAATCGGCTTTGGCTAGCCACAAGGAAAGGGATCCACCAGGCTTTTTGGCTAGTTGTGCCATGTTGGAAACCCTTTGTCCCAGTCAGGAGCCTTGTGCCCAAAAGGATCAGGGTAGAGGTCCTACCCTTTCGGGGGGTGGACAAAAGCATACCCCTAAGTGCACTTTTTTGTATTGTATTTTGCACTTGCACGTTTTTTGTTCTCTACCAACTTTTGTACAACAGCCCTGCTGGATTTTACCCACTCAATCAGCGCTGCAGGGTATAGCCTGCAATGCTGACCAGTGTATTCTGATGGTGGGAGAAGTCTCCTCGCTGTGAGAATACAAAGTATCAGCGAATAGAATTACCCCAATCACCTCGCATGCAGGGATAGGGGAATCAGGTCAGTTTTTTTTCACTGAAAAAAAAACAAAAAAACTGTCTCATCTATGTACTGCTTAAGACTTTTCAATAATTCCTAAATACAGCCATGGCACCTCTTAGAAATATCTGAAAAGGTAAGAAATGTTTTGTTTTTAATTTTGCTGTGCGAATGAGAACACAAAGTGGGGTTTTCTCACATTTAACAGCAAAAGTGGACACAGGCTTTAAGTGCTTAAAGATGTGATCCCTTCTTCAGCCTATAAAAAAAAAAAAAAAAAAAAAAAAATCAAAAGCAACCCAAAAGCTTGCATCTTTAAAGGATGAGCTCACCTTTCCTAACATATTACACCCATATTCAGGGAGGTAACATGTTATGAAAGCACTGGCCCCCCGCTCTGACAGCTAGCAGGGAATCTTCTCCTCCCAAAGAGCTGTCAAATTTAAAATAAACATGGCTGTGCGGGGCTCCACCTCCCAGCCACATCACTTCTTTGTGAATGAGGAACTACAGGTCCCAACAGACTTAGTGGTTGTCTGCTAGTAGTTCTCAATGAACTACCACGGCGCTGTAGTTCACTGAATTTTCCGATCAATATATCTGCTTGCTTGTACATTCCGTGCGGGCAAGCACATATACTGATAGATCTGCAGAAGACCAACATGGAACCAGCGATCTACTGATCGCTGGTGCAATGCTTTACATGCTCCTAAAGCAAAAATAATAAATGCACATTATTTTACCTGCAAAAAACTGGCATTTATTATTTTTTACCAAAAGGTGAACTTATTCGTCAATAAGTTAGCCAATAAAGGGTGTTACCTAAACTCTGTATTTTCCAAATTAATCAATACATGTTATCAAGAATGTAGTGTGGTTTAATCAGCACTACCTCTGCCTGGCTTTCTCATCTGGAATCCCAAGGCAGATTTCTCTGTCAAACCTTCCAGCACGACGCAGTGCAGGGTCCAGAGAATCCGGGCGGTTGGTGGCCCCAATGACGAGAACCTGAGCAGTCACCTCCAGGTTATTTAAATCTGGTGGGAGAAAAAAAAATGGTCAAAAATTAGCTTGTAAGAAACCTTGGCGGAACACTAGCAGTACAAAAGAGGACTAACACTCACCGTCCATACAGGTGAGCAGCTGGGCCACAATCCTCCGCTCCATGTCTTTAGAGGCCACTTCTCTCTTTGGGGTTATAGCATCAATCTCATCAATGAAAAGAATACAAGGGGCGCTACTCTGAAATATTCAACACAAAACACATATTGGTACAGCAAATTCAAACACTAAACCTTTATGAGTTTTGGAATGAATTGAATGTGTCTGGGTTAAAACCCCTGGCAGGTTGTAGACGTTGTCTTGTGTTTAACTGGGGAGATATCCCCTTCACTTCCTCACATGGTGCCCACTGTCCATAGGACAGGAAGTAACAGGAAATATTTTCAATTGAAACAGAAAATATGACTGCAATTCTGACTCTACTAAACAAAGTGTTATTGTTGCCCATGTGCCTGTTCAAAAGCTTTCCTCTACCTCCCTGTCCTGGTGATAAAAAGTCCAATCTCCCTATCAGAATAAAATAACCCCCCCAAAAAAAAAACAAAACCACAACAAAACAACAGCAGACTATCTGACCCTTCCCTGCTAGCTAAATAAAAACTTTTGGTTGGAACTCCACTTAAAGTCCAAGTTCACCATTTTTTTTTTTTCTAAATTCCAGCTCCCATATGTACCAATATAGCATTAACCACTTACCCTCCAGAAGATTTACCCCCCCCTTTCCTGACCAGGCCATTTGTTTGCGATATGGCGGCGCATTACTTTAACTGATGGTCATGCAATGTTGCACCCAAATTAAATTTACGTCCCTTTTTTCTCCACAAATGGAGCTTTCTTTTGGTGGTATTTGATCACCTCTGCATTTTTTTTTTTTCATATAGCACAAAAAAGACCGACAATTTTGAAAAAAAAAAAAACAAAACAAAAAAAAAAAAACAAACAAAAAAAAAACAAGCAAATCAAAAATATTTTTTGATTTTTGCTATAAAAACGTATCCAATAAAATAATTTAAAAAAATAACATTTCATCATAAATTTAGGCCAAAATGTTTTCTGCTACATGTCATTGCTAAAAAAAAAATCCCAATAGGTGTACAGTAATTCATTTACGTGAAAGTTATATTGTCCATAATGTCAGTATAGATACACATTTTTTTTTTTTAATACTAGAAATGGCGGTGATCAGCGACTTATAGCGGGAATGCGGGACTGTGGCAAGCATTCGGACACTGGTTGGGAACTGATTAATTGGCACTGACATTCCCAGTGACACTAATACAGTGATCAGTGCTAATAAAAAGCACTGACACTGTACTAATGACACTAGGCAGGAAGGGGTTAACATCTGGGACAATCAAAGTGTTAACAGTGTGCTGTGTGTGTTTCACTATGTGTGCTGTGTTGAGTTTTACTCGGAAGACATGCTGCTTTGTATCTCTCTGTTGTGCAGAGATACAAAGCAGCATATCCATGCTGACACTAGAGAGATCTATGTTGTTTGCACACAGATCCCTCCCCTCTCAGCCCTGCCGATGATTCCTGGCCGGGACTTGGTGATTGACATATCCAACAGCCAATAGTGATGAAAGGCAGCGTGCACACCCCCTACCTGGAAATGCAAAATCACGTATATTTACGTGATTTTGCGCAGCAGAGCCACCCTGTAGCAGTATATCTGCTATAGGGGAAGCTGTTAAGTGGTTAATGTACTTCTTTTGCAAAAATAAAAAAGCTTTCCATTTACTTTACACACCCCTTACCTCAGTATTCACGTGGCTGTATTAAAAAAAAAACAAAAAAAAAACAAAAAACAACCCACACATCTCCATAACTCTCTCACCGAGGACACACTTCTCCTGTTTTCATTACTACAGCTCTATCCACACACGCTATTATCTGATCACTCAGCACACTCTGCCAAATGAACGATCTATAGAAGATGAAAGTTAGGGTGCAAGAAAAAAAATTGATGGCTGTGTATTTGAGAACATTGATCACTGATTGACTGCATTTCACTTGATAAAGGTACACCTGGAGGTGGGTGGTAGGTAGGAGAGTAGATGATGCAAGGTGTGTGCTAATGAGGTCACCTGGTCAACTCCTTCCTGTGTCATGACCTAAAGTCTGTCAGGAAGTGAGAGAGAAGTAATGGAGAAGTCTTTTTTTATACAGCCATCTGAACACTGGAGTAAATAGAAAGCTTTTTTTATTTCTGCAAAAGAAGTACATTAATGCGATACTGGTACATAGGGGAGGTGGAATTAATAAAAAAAAAGTGAACAAAAGGTGAACTTAGCTTTTAAATAAATCACTTAATGGGTTAGTTCACCTCATCAGAAAAAAATCAAAAAGGTGAACTAAAACCATACACCCTCCCAAACCCTTTTCGGTCCCCGCTGTACTTAACACCGTGAGTGATGAGCTGTCAGTGCTCATGCAGCTAGTATAGTAGTCTGGGGATTTGAAATCCCCACTTTACTCTCTTTTCTTTCTGCAGAACTTCCAGGACATATCACAGCTATTCTGATTGGTCAGCACTGGCACAGAGCTCTGATCTTTTCCCAGAAGCACTGCAGAAAGAAGGGGGAAAAGAGCAGGGATTTCAAATCTCCTGACAGGTCACTGGCTGCATGGCTATTGACAGCTCAATACCCACAAACGTAAGTACAGTGTGGACCAGGGGGTGTATGGTAATAGCTCACCTTTTCTGAAAAGGTAAACTAACCCTTTGATATGTAGTAAAACTCTTCCTTATATAAATAGATTATTTTAGACTAAATTGGTCCCACTAGAACATAATACAGCCTTTTGTGCTATTAATAGGGATACAGCCACTGACAACAGAATACACAAATGCCATACAGTCCCAATGAGACAAAGATCAAGCCGCAATGTTGCAGGATTTCTTGTTCATAACCCCATTGCGGCAGTTCAACAAAAGAGTGAGGCCACCACCAGGGAATACAATACACTCACTGTATATACAGCCCTCAGAGTTACCAAGCAGGTGGAAGCACTTCTACAGCCAACAGCGAGAAAAAAAAATGCTTTAATTAAGAAATGCTCCCAGTAATGTCCTCTTTGATCTGTTGGCTTTTCAAGCCCAACTCCTCACACAAAGATTCATGTAAGAAAAAAAGTAAAATCTAAAACTGAGATTATTGTTGTTACTAAAATCAAAACCACAGAAGAAATGTCTGTTGCGTTCTTTCCTGTCTGCAGCCCGCCAGTTAATACCTCTTTTTTGGAAATCGGCTGCCCCCCCCTCTTCCGATGTGGGTCTCTGTGCTTAATGATACCATGCGTATGGAAGAAATGCTGGCGTTTACTCATACCTATGATAAACATAAGCTGTTGTGGTCAGTCTGGCTTCATTTCTCCTCTCTACGACTCTCCGTGATATGTGTGTCCCCTGCTACGCTCTAGTGGAGCTATGCCTTGTCCCCCCGACTCAAACCCATTTTGGTTTATCCGCCGTTTGGTACCTGTGGCGCATGCCGTGCTATGGACATCAGGGTTGCTTCCATAAGATACGCATGGGCAGCTATTCCGTTGCTGCTTACTGCCGTTCCCGCTCCCCACCTCCTTTTTTCTCCTTCAATACCCTTTACACTGGCCCCTTCTTTTCTTTTTCTTTCTGTTTCCCCCCCACCTATTTTTCTCTCTTCTGCTTTCTTTCTTTCTCCTCAATTACGATTTATCATCTTGGTTGTGCAGAGTTTTTTCATTTTGGATATAAAAAGTCTACACACCCCTGTTAAAATGTCAGGTTTCTGTGATGTAAAACAATGAGACAAAGAAATAATTTCTGATTTTTTTCCACTATAATGAGACCTTTAAACTGTACAACTCAATTGAACAACAAGCTGAAATTTTTTTTTTTCTGGGGGGTGGGGTGGGGAGTAAACAGAAAAAACCTAAACAGAAAAAAATAAGTGTGCACACCCTCTTATAACTGGGGATGTAGCTGTGTTCAGAATTAAGCAATCACATTCAAAATCATGTTAAATAGGAGTCGGTACACACCTGCCATCATTTAAAGTGCCTCTGATTAACCCCAAATAAAGTTCAGCTGTTCTAGTAGGTATTTCCTGACATTTTCTTAGTCGCATCCTACAGCAAAAGCCATGATCCGCAGAGAACTTCCAAAGCATCAGAGGGATTTCATTGTTAAAAGGTATCAGTCAGGAGAAGGGTACAAAAGAATTTCCAAGGCATTAGATATACCATGGAACACAGTGAAGACAGTCATCATCAAGTGGAGTAAATATGGTACAACAGTGACATTACCAAGAATGTGACGTCCCTCCAAAATTGATGAAAAGACGAGAAGAAAACTGCTCTGGGATGCTGCGAAGAGGCCTACAGCAAAATTAAGGCTTCATTTACACGAGCAGCTCCTAAACTCAACTCCATAAAAGCTTGTGTCCATGTACACAAGCTTTTAGCAGTGTTTAGGAGCTGCCGTGTTTAGGTGAAGTTAAACCTCCCTCTCTTGAATTCAGCAGTATAGTGTTCAGGATAGGAACGTTTTGACTGCCGACCGCGCGAAAACGTAAAAAAAAAAAAAAAAAAAAAAACGCATCAAAACCACGTTATTGCGGTTTTTCCATGATTTGTGTTTCCCCGTGGCCGATGGTCAGGGTAGGCTCATGTACATGGAGCCTTAAAGAGCTGCAGGAATATCTTGCAAGTACTAGCTATGTGGAACATGTGACAACAATCTCCCGTATTCTTCATATGTCTGGGCTATGGCAAGATGGAAGCATTTTCTTAAGATGAAAAACATCCAAACCCGGCTAAATTTTGTAAAAACACATCTGAAGTCTCCCAAAAGCATGTGGGAAAATGTGTTCTGGTCTGATGAAACCAAGGTTGAACTTTTTGGCCATAATTCCAAAAGATATGTTTAGCGCAAAAACAACAATGCACATCACCAAAAGAACACCATACCCACAGTGAAGCATGGTGGTGACAGCATCATGCTTTGGGCTGTTTTTCTTCAGCTGGAACTGGGGCCTTAGTCAAGGTAGAGGGAATTATGAACCGTTCCAAATACCAGTCAATGTTGGCACAAAACCTTCAGACTTCTGCTAGAAAGCTGAACATGAAGAGGAACGTCATCTTTCAGTATGACAACGACCCAAAGTATACATCCAAATCAACAAAGGAATGGCCTCACCATCAGAAGATTAAAGCTTTGGAATAGCCCAGACCTGAATCCGATCGAAAATCTGTGGTGTGATCTGAAGAGGGCTGTGCACAGGAGATGCCCTCGCAATCTGACAGATTTGGAGTGTTTTTGTAAGGAACAGTGGGTAAATATTGCCAAATCAAGATGTGCCATGCTGAGACTCATACCCAAAAAGACTGCGTTAATAAAATCTAAAGGTGCTTCAACACAGTATTAGTTTAAGGGTGTGCACACTTATGCAACCATATTATTTTATTTTTAATTTTTACTTCCTTCCACCTATAAGATTTCAGTTTGTTGTTCATCTGAATCAGTTTATAGGTCAGAATAAAAGGTGGAAAAAGTTCTGAAATTATTTATCTTTGTCTCATTTTTTTACATCACAGAAACCTGACATTTTAACAGGGGTGTGTAGACTTTTTATATCCACTGTATCCGTCACTGTATCCGTCATAGTCTTAGGACACAGAAAACCAGAATAAATACTACTGCCTTGCTGGTACACACTCAAATCTAGACCTCAACCACAACCAGGTCATTGGATGACACAACAGGTTATACGTTAACCAGGCCTACCACAGGTTGGTAAGATTGTGATTTGCAATCTCCTCAAAAGGACAGCAAAGTAAAAAGACCTCATCTCCATTTTTACCACAGTTTGGAGCTCAGAAAAGGAAATAATGTGGCATACAAGCTTCATCACAGCTGTAAAATACCAACAATACTGTATATCTCCAAAGAACATTAGTCAATGCACAAAACCACTGAGTATGAAGGCACAGGAACTAAATGTATTATAGACATTACCACAGCCTGGTCGAAGAGTTCCCTCAGCTTTTGTTCAGATTCCCCTGAGACTCCAGACACCATTTCTGTAGCTGCAACCTTGAGCATTGGTAAATCCAATTCCTGCAAAAATCAAAAGATTACTGAAGTACAAGAATGATACAAAGGATAAAGAACTATCCATTTTATACATATGAATTTCTGGGTAGTCCTTTATTACTATAGCTATGAAACTCCTAAATGCCAGCCCCAAAATGCTGTAAATAAAAAAAGTAACTTGCCCCTACATAGCTGAAATGTAGGGGGCAAGTGACCCCAAGAACATATATCTTAAATATAGCAACCAATCAGTGCTTAGATGTGGTGGCTGCATTAGTTTTCTTTTTCTTTCAGGATTTTCCCTTCATTTTCACCCAGCGGTCCTGCCAGTAACATACTTCAGGGTCCTAGGGTGACAATGGTCACACTTTACCAAATATAGCGACTACAATTTTACTCTCGTACAGGACTACAGAAAACCCCCCTCTTTTCCATAACATGTGGGTGGTTCTGTAATCTGCAAAGATAGCTGAAAGCATTTTGACTAGAGGGCAGCCAAGGCAGAGAGGACAGAAAGTTATCAGTTCCCAAGGCATGGTGAATGGGTATTTTCAGCACTTATTGAACAGATACAAACAAAATGCTTCAAATTGCATAATTTAAAGAAACAAAACAAAGCATATAAGATAAGTTCGTTTTTAAGGTTTATATGCACCTTAATATGCCTCGTTTGTGGTTATAAAAGTAACACCAATTTTTTTTTGTTTTTATGAATGTTTTCGGGCAAACTCTTTACTTAGAGAAGAGCACAGAGTACAATGCAATACAATAAAGTCACTACAATTTCAAGTATAAGGCAATGACAGGTTCCATGATAAAGACAAAACAAAAGCATAAGAACCATGTTTAACTGGTTAAGGAGTAAAATTCGAATGCATACCGCAAACTGGATTGAAATATAATATAAGAAGTGCAGTATAGACAACCTAAATCCACAGAAGGCATTTATGACTCTAGGTACCAAGGAAGTAGGCACTGGACCTAATTTCAGACTATGCGTATCCTTGCAGGGAACTAATGTGTAGAACCTAAAATAAGGCAGTATATAAGTAGCAATACAGTTATAAATCTACATTATCACCCTCATCACATGTGAGGTCAGAATCTAACCATTTGTCCCATATTTTATGATATTTGGTAGGGCATCCTCTATGTATGTACAGTTGTACATCTTGTACAGTTGGTGGTAGTGCTCTGAGCCAAGTTTGAGCAATTAGCATTCTAGCCATAAATAAAAATTCTTGCAAAAAAAAAAACCCCCAAAAAACTGTGAAATTCATCACTGTCCGAACAGTAAAATAGGCCCAGTTGGCATTGCTTAGTGCAGAGGGTGAGATGGGAACCCATTCGATCATGCAAAAACCAGATCACCGGAGTCCAATATCCCTGAATAGTAGGGCAGGACCACAGTAGGTGATAAAAGGTACCACTGGCCACTCCACATCTGGGACAAAGAGGGCTATATTGCAGATGGTATCTGGACAAAAAGACATCAGGTAGGTCCTTTGAAGTATATACAAGGCTCCATACACACTAGCATTTTTTAAGTGCCTAGGAGCTATTAGCAGCATATTTTTTTTTCTGCTCCTAGGAGCTAAATAGAGTTATCCTGTGTGTCCATGCACACTACTATAGGCTATTAGCATTTTTTTGAGGTTCAATGTCTAGAAGAGTTACATAGTTAGTAAGGGTGAATAAAGACAACAGTCCGTCAGTTCAACCATCTGGTCCTGTTGATTTATTGCGTTAAGATTTTCAAGTCTTTTCCGAACACCGGCTTTTGTAAGCCACAAGGGTGCATTCTCTTAAGAGTTTTTTTTAGTGTTTTTCCAGCAGAAAAAACGCTAGACACTCCTAAACACTACTAAAATGCTCCTAACGGCTTTTTTCTAGCTTTTTTTTCTCTACATGTACTGTCAAAAGGCTAATAAAATGCTAATGCTCCTAAACTCTTCTGAACGCTACAAAAATGATACAAAAAAAAAAAACACTATTACCAGCGTTTTTTCACAGAATTTTATGAGCTTGCAAAAAAAAAAAAAAAAAACCGCTAGTGTGCATGGAGCATAAATGAGTAAGATGGTCAGAGAGCTTCGGAGAGAACACTTTGCACAGGTGCAGCACCTCTTCCCAGGTTTCATCCTCCAGCTCCCTCACGTCTGCCACCCAACGAATTTTAAGTTGGTATGCCAAACGTGTGGCAGCCGACAAAAGGAGACAGTTATAGAAAGTGGAGGTGAGCTTCTTAGACTCCAAACCCAACAATACATCCAGTGGGTGCAAAGAATCCAGATCTGGAGTGGTGTTGGCAAATTTAGTACACAGCACGTGTTGGAGCTGGAGGTAGCGAAAAAAACAGACCTGGGAAGCTGAAATTCTGACTTGAGTTCTTGGAATGATTTAATTCCGGTGCAGAAGAATGAGAGAGATATTCCTTCCTGGCTTTTTCAAATAAAAATATTCAGATATTTTTCTCGAAGTCTTCTGCCAGTCCAGTGATGTCACAGGAACTTCCTGTTCTTCAGGTGGTGGTGGGCATTTTATTAACCATCTAGTTATGTAGTACTTTTAGTGTACCCTAAGTGTTGACATCCTCCCAAGAGGGAGAAGGGCATATAAATGACAGCTTGGGCTCCTTTTTACCTGTCCAGTCACAGGCTGAGGAAGGGACAAGGCAAAGGTGAATAAACTGCTTCAGAGAAAAATCAGGTAGGCTCCCTTACCAGACAGGCCTGTGCTGTGTGGCAAAGCTGTGTTATCTCAGAACTGGATTGACATGAGCACATTCGTTGGCAGAAAGAAATGCTCCCATATATGTATTTCGTCTGTGTATTTAGACTAAAGTTCAGCTTTACATACATTTCTTTAAAATTAATTTTATATAAAAGAAACATTGACTTCAAAACAAAAAACTTTATCATACAGAGGTCTTATTTTCAGAAACAAAAAGGTGCATAAAAAAGGGCAGTGCCAATACTAACCTGCCACATACCAGCTCTTTATATTTTACCTGCAGTAGAGATATAACCAGATTTGCTGCAGTGGACAGTGAAGATACATTTTATTTTCTTCAAACAAGTCTTTTTTTTTTTTTAAATGAACTGGAATTTAGTTCTGTTCCTTGAAAGCAGTTCCAAGAATATATTAGATAAAAATTAAAAGCAGACAAGAGAGACTTACTCCAGCGATGGCCTGAGCCAATAAAGTCTTCCCACACCCAGGAGGTCCATGTAACAGGAAGCCACGAGGTGGGACAACGCCCAGATGCTGGTACACCTCAGGGTGACGCATGTGAATTAGGAGTTTGCAAACCTCCTGCAAAAGTGACAACATCATTTCAGGTAAACATTCATATTAAAACGCACACAGTATTGTTTTTTTAATCCATTTTCTTCAGAGCAAACATCTAATACACATTCCATCCATGAGAACAGTTTGCAGAGGAGGACAGTCCTTTAAATTCGAAAGCTTAGCGCTACCTGCATGCTTGCGGTTACTGTCTTTATAACCAACTGGGGTAGGTTTTCCCCTTCTCCGAGTCTGTGTAATCTAGTCTCTCCTGCTACTCAGCTCTGAGGTCTCTAAGGGCTTGTTTAAACCATGTCAGGTGACCTGCCTTTTTTGTGCCCATTACTGCACATGTATAGGGGTGAACAGGGTGCACAGAAAGCAATGTTTTCTATGTCTCCTGTTCACATGATACATGTGTGGTGGTATAATGAAAAATTAAATTTTCTAAAAACCTGTAAAAAGCAGCTGTTCAGTCTGCAGTCCACCACGGGCTACAGACTGAACAGCTGCTTTTTATAGGTTTTCGTACATATGAGATAAGCCCTTTCCCAGGTCTTGGGTATCACATTAGCTGCTTTACCACAGCATGGAAAACAGATATTTTAACTTTTTTGCACCATGTAATCATTTTAAATATCATTCCTTTTAAAAGGAATGTATAATTTTGAATATATTTTACTATATTGACTATTAAAATACTTTTAAATGGTTTTCCTTTTTTACTTTAGTAAATATTAATATTACATCCATAGGAACAGAGATTTACATTCTTGGTTCAGACCCGTTCAGCTATGACATGCTGAGGAGGGGAGGCCACACACAAGACACTTGGTTGATCCCCCCTCTCTTCTTGTATTGGTGGCACTGCGAGTGAGACAGAAAGCTATGTGAAATCCAAAATTTTACAATCCTTCCTTACTTCACAAAAAAAAAAAGTGAGTAGAAATCTTCCTTTAGGGACACGTGTTCTGATGACAGCTGTCTAAGGTTACATTTATGCTAGCCTCCTGCCTTAAAGTCTAATTCTTTTTTTAACAACAAACATGTCATACTTACCTGCTCTGTGCAGTGGTTTTGCACAGAGTAGCCCCAATCCTCTTTTTCTCAGGTCCCCTGCCCCAGTTCCCTCCTCACAGGCTGTGATTGACAGCACCAGGAGCCAATGGCTCCGGCTGCTGTGTCTCAGCCAATGAGGAGGGAGAGATCTGGGAAAGTCAAATCTCCTGTGCACATCGCTGGCCCGAGATCGAGCTCAGGTAAGTATTGAGGGGGCATACAATGCATGGAGGTAAAAAACTTTGAGCCTTTAGAGCCACTTTAAGGAATTATCTAAGTGTAACACGTTCTGCTTCCCAAATCTTCCTGCATTTAAATGTATTATATTTACGCACACTCAGCGTATCTAATCTGCATCTGGCACAGAATTTCTATGCTCTCTAAATGCAGCTGAACTGAATGCGCCTAAACACAGGTAAACACACAGTGTGACTTATACCATTTAAAATGATTACATGGATTTATAGGGACTGTGTGGGAGGGTTTAGAGCAGGCAGCGAAGGAAGGGGAACCTGGGCGGCGGCGGCGGGGGGGGGGGGGGAAATACAAGGGATCGATTAAACTAAATGCCACCCCCGCTGCCCCTCCTGTCCATGTTCCCCTTCCTTCTGCTTGTCAGCTGCCCAGGCCCCCCTGTTGAAATAATGGGGGGCCCAGGCCCCGTATAGGGCAACTAGGTGTGCCCCTTTATCATCCGCCCTGCCTGTAGATGTCACTTTCTGTGGCATCTCTGGGGAAAAATGTTAAACAGGAATTCTGGGTATTGATATTTTATACATATCTACATTGGTCCAAGCTGGGAAATCTACCCAGGAGGGACACATAGAAAAAAAACAAAACAAAAAACATTTTATCCAACTAAAAGAAGTCATAACTTGGGTACGTTTAAGGGATTTCACAGATGGGTGATATGGAGGCATAATTAACATGGCAAAATGAATCATGCAAAGTGCAGAAAACCTAAGTGACCAGTCACTGTGTAATGCTAATCATGCTGTAAAACTGAAAAAAATGTATTGGTTGTTATGAAAAACATACTGCCAAGGTTTCGTCGTTTCCTCCTACATCGGCAAATCGAAGAGATGACCTCTGCAACTCAAAAACCTTTCCTTTACCTGGGGTCAAAAGGAAAAAATAAAATTAATCATTACCTTATCAGTATAGGCAGCCATAGGTGAAATATATCAAACCAAGTGGCAATTTACTAGGAACTGTACGAATGTAGATAAGATATTTTCTTGGCTTTAATTTCTTACCTTTAGCCTTCATAATAGCAGACTTTATCTCCTCATCCACATCTTGAGACACCGACTTCACCTTTTGGGATTTCTTTCCTTTGCGCTTCTTCTTTTCACTCTCCAGAAGAGAGACATCCACAGACTTCTACAAGACACAGAACATTTCTAAAATGAATACAAAGGAAAACAATGCAGGGCCTATGCACACTGGGTATAAAAAAATGCTGCTTATACAGGCTTTTGTCGTTTTTTTCTTTCTGCCTGTAGAAGAAGCTTTGGGTTAGCCTTTATGCACACTTACAAGCATATTTGCAGAGGAGCATTTTCAGGCAGAAAAAAAAAACATCAGAATCGTGTTTTTGAGAGAAGCTTTTGGGCAGAAAATGCTTGGCGGTCATTAACGTGCATAAATGTGGCATTAACCACTTGGTAACCGCACTATAGCCGAATGATAGCTACAGCACGGCTACCCAGTTCTGGGAGGGCGTCATATGACACCCTCCCACGCATCCCCACGGGCGCGCACCCGGCAATCTCCGTGATCGCTGTGTCCTAAGGATACCGCTGATAACGTGATGAGGTGAAAGGCAATCACAGCGGCTTTTTACCACATGAACAGCTGTGTTCAATAACACAGCAGATCATGGAGTAAATACAGTTGCCGGTTATCAGAAGCACTTTACTCACGCTGTCACATCGTGAGGAAAGTACAGCCGATAACCGGCAGCTGTCACAAAGCAGATTGACACTACAGTGCTGACCAGAAGTGTCACCCGCCAGTGCCTCCCACCAGTGTCACCCAGCAGCTGTGCTCATCAGTGCCATCTATCAATGCCTCCTCATCAATGCCCACCAGTGCCACCTCGTCAGTGCAGCCCATCCCTGCCATCTCATCAGTGCCCATCAATGCTGCCTATCAGAGCCCATCAGTGCTGCCTCATCAACGCACATTAGTGAAGGAGAAAAATTACCTGTTTGCAAAATTTTATAACAGAAACAAAGAAAAACTTTTTTTTTTTTGCTCTTTGTTTATAGTGCAAAAAATAAAACACCCAGTGGCGATTAAATACCACCAAAAGAAAGCTCTTGGTGTGTGAAAAAAAATGATAAAAATTTCATATGGGTACAGTGTTAGATGACTGTCAAAGTGCGACAGCGCTGAAAGCTGAAAATTGGCCTAGGCACGAAGGGGGTATAAGTGCCCGGTAGGCAAGTGGTTAAGGACCATTCAGTGTTTTCATGTGTACATTGATTATTATAGTGCAAAATGAGCAGAGGAGAAATTTTTGGGAAAAAAAGCTTATAAAGAGCAAAATGCCCATAAACACGTATAAACTCTTGTGCAATACGAGCCACTATATGAATGTTTATGCTGCTTTTTCTGCCACAGGTTCTAGCATTTTTTTCAGCTGCCTAGTGTACATGGACCCTTATGGTGTGTTACCACTATCAAAAGGCTAACAATGGTCTTTTTCCAAAATTAGTGGAAATTGGAAGTATAACTATACAAGAGAACCACATGTTTAAAGTTGCAAAAAAATGAAGAGGGAAAGATATGCCCATATTTTAAAAGTTGGGTTTTCTTTGTTTGCTGTGTCCCAGTTGGGTAGATTTAGCCCACTCGGTCTATTGACTATTGTCATCTAGAGAAAAAGTAATGGGAAATCCAAAAATGTATAGTTACCAGGGTAAAACGTGAGGGAAAATCCTCCAAACGTGGACACTTATTTCTGTGACAACTCTCCAAGAAGGAAATTCTGTTCACCTATTGGATGAATTTCTCCTGCCGGATATTGTATTTTGTCAGCCAACACTGAAGCTAAAAAAATACCCATACAGAGCCTTTGATTTATGTAAATCAAAGACTGTCAGGCAGGAGGATGCCAATAGGGCTACCCATAGGTACAATTTCAGCCGAGTTATCAAGAACTAGTCAAAAGTTGCTTCCTGTATGTCCAGTAAAAAAAATCTCAGTTGTTAATGGAACTTTCAGCACACCTGAACAGCAAGCGAAGATCCATTCCCCATTCCCTCATCCCCCTAACTGTCTTTGACCAAGCAGCAAGTCAGTCAAAGGAACACAGATACACTCAATTTCCACAGAGGAGTATAATTCCCACTGACATCTGTGAGGCATTGGCTAAGTCACCAGTGTCTTACCAAATCAGGAAGTGGGGAATAAAAAAAAACAAGAACTGTAGGCTAACAGCCAAAGCTTTGATCTTTAAAGGAAACCTGTCACTAGGCTAACATAAGGATGCCACTGTAGCACCTACTTCTGAAAACACTAGTTTATCAGCTGTTATACTGACCCACTGTCTTCTAACTTTCTAGATTGAAATGACTACAATCTCATTTACATCTACTAAGAACTGTGAAGAACAAGGGCCAGCCTAAATGGATAGTATAGGAAGGTCCTCATATAAAACAAACAGCAGTTTTGGTAAATCTAAAATTGATTGTACAAAACATTGTAAGTCAGATTGACACATGTATGGTGAGCTAAAAGGGTTAGCTCATCTTTGCAAAAACCGCATGCATGTGCTATTTCATCCATCACAATACTTCTGAGCTCAGCACCATGGGGACAGAGTAAATAGTGCACTGCGCATGTACAAAGTGTGGATCCAAGTATGCCATTTCGATGGTGGAGGGGAGTATCAACAGCTGGAGAATTAGTTGAAGCATCACGGCAATGTCCTAGCAACAGGTCAGGAAAGGGAAATGCCAGTTATGGGAGTTTTTGGCAAGGTATCTGCAGGGGCCAAAATGGCCTACAGCAGTAGCAGGTACATAACTCAACTCATTTTACTATAAAAAGATATACATAAAACAGCACAAGGCTGAGGCCCAGCAGTAGTACTAAGGAAAGGACACTAACCTCTTCATCGCCAGCTCCCTTCTCTTTCTCTCCATCATCACACAGGTCTATGAAGAGGTTCTTCCCCTTGGTCTTGCTGGGAGTTTTGTCAATGAACCATCCGGCTTCTGGGTTTCTTGAGTGCCCTGCTGTATGTGGTTGTGCAGAAGATATGGAAGGGGCTGGTGTGCTGGTGTCCGGAGTCTCGTTTTTGGAGGGTGTGTCCGAGTCAGGGTTTCCTTTCCGGTACAAGGACAGCAGAGAGGAGTTCATGTGATTTGAGGACTGGGGAAAAAAAAAAAAAAAAAAAAAAAAACAGTACAAAAAATACACTAGCAAATAATAAATATTTTATCACTATTCTGATATTTTATTTATTCAGAGAAGTCTCTCCAGAAGTTACGAAGACTTGTTAAATTCCGCTCAGGGAACCCTTTGTATATAGAGCCTAAATATAGGTTTAACATGGTCCAAAATATAGAATTGGCCTTTAGGTATTCAAAAGCCGTTAGAAGTTTCTCATATCAGACTATTATATTGGTACAGTAATTTGCACATTGTACTTAATATGTGTATTGGTAGGGTTGCCAGTGCACCAGTCTGTTTTAATGCAAACATATGATTCACGATTATTCTATCATCATAGAAATCAATGTTTCAGATCCACATAGATTCTCTTTATGAAGGTGCAAAAGAAATGTATAAACCTGCAAAAATACTGGGATGCTCCCACCATTGGTTCTAGAACAATGGATGTTTATTACGACACTTCATAATATATGTAGTTTTAGACAGTGTAACATTGTGCAAGCAGAACCTCTTCTGGTGATATATGGAAGTACAGCCAGAAAGTGAGTCAATTTATTGAACAGAAAGAACACTGTGTACTGGACATTACCATCAATCAGATTCCATGTCATTTAAGCAGGATAGGCAGTAAAATACTTTAAAATAATGGGAATCTCCTACATCCTACAAATCAGAAACACTTCACCTGTGGAAGTCTCAGCTCTGTGTTGAATCTCATGCCAGGTTAAAGTTTATATCAACCCAAATCACTAAAATCTCATATAAGCTTTAACATGCTAATATAATTTTCAATATACCGTATTTTCCGGCGTATAAGACGACTGGGCGTATACTTTGACCCCCTACTTTTCCTGTTTAAAATGTAGTGTTTGGGCTATACTCGCCGTATAAGACTACCCCTCTTCCAGTGCACACCAGTGGGAAGAATTGTGCCCCATCATTGGTGTCAGTAGGAGGAATAGCACCCCATCATTGGTATCAGTGGCAGGAATAGTGCCCCATCATTGGTGTCAGTGGAAGGAATAGTGTCCCATCATTGGTGTCAGTGGAAGGAATAGTGTCCCATCATTGGTATCAGTGGAAGGAATAGTGTCCCATCATTGGTATCAGTGGAAGGAATAGTGTCCCATCATTGGTATCAGTGGGAGGAATAGTGCCCCATCATTGGTATCAGTGGCAGGAATAGTGCCCCATCATTGGTATCAGTGGGAGAAATAGTGCCCCATCATTGGTATCAGTGGCAGGAATAGTGCCCCATCATTAGAGGAATAGTGCCCCATAATTGGTATCAGTGGCAGGAATAGTGCCCCATCATTAGTATCATTGGGGGGAATAGCACCCCATCATTGGTGTCAGTGGAATAGTGCCCCATCTTTGGTGTCAGTGGGAGGAATAGTATCCCATCATTGGTGTCAGTGGGGGGGGGGGGGGAATAGTGCCCCATCGTTGGTGTCAGTGGGGGGGGGGTGGAATAGTGCCCCATCATTGGTGTCAGTGGTGGGGGGAATAGTGCCCCATCATTGGTGTCAGTGGGGGGGGGGAGGGAATAGTGCCCAATCGTTGGTGTCAGTGGGGGGGGGGGAATTGTGCCCCATCGTTGGTGTCAGTGGGGGGGGGGAATTGTGCCCCATCGTTGGTGTCAGTGGGGGGGGGGGAATTGTGCCCCATCGTTGGTGTCAGTGGGGGGGGGGGGAATTGTGCCCCATCATTGGTGTCAGTGGGGGGGGGGGGAATTGTGCCCCATCGTTGGTGTCAGTGGGGGGGGGGGGAGGGGAGGAATAGTGCCCATCATTGGTGTCAGTGGGGGGGGGAATAGTGCCCAATCGTTGGTGTCAGTGGGGGGGGGGGGAATATAAGTGGCCCCATCATTGGGGGGGGGGGGGGGGGGGGGGTGGTTGGTGTCAGTGGGGGGGGGGAATTGTGCCCCATCGTTGGTGTCAGTGGGGGGGGGGAATTGTGCCCCATCGTTGGTGTCAGTGGGGGGGGGGAATTGTGCCCCATCGTTGGTGTCAGTGGGGGGGGGGGAATTGTGCCCCATCGTTGGTGTCAGTGGGGGGGGGGGGGAATAGTATCCCATCATTGGTGTCAGTGGGGGGGTGGGAATAGTGCCCCATCATTGGTGTCAGTGGTGGGGTGGAATAGTGCCCCATCGTTGGTGTCAGTGGGGGGGGAGGAATAGTGCCCCATCGTTGGTGTCAGTGGGGGGGGGGAATTGTGCCCCATCGTTGGTGTCAGTGGGGGGGGGGGGAATTGTGCCCCATCGTTGGTGTCAGTGGGGGGGGAGGAAAAGTGCCCCATCGTTGGTGTCAGTGGGAGGAATAATGCCCCATCATTGGTATCAGTGACACCAACGATGGGGCACTATTCCTCCCACTGACACTTGCTGACCCCTGTTCCAGTATGGTGCTGCTGCAGCCAGCATATGTGGTTGCAGCAGCACCTAAGCACGGTACACTTACCTGCATCTCCACTCGATTTTTGCGGGGCCGCTCAGCTCCGCTCCTCGCCGGTGATTGGCCGCCTGTGTGCCTTTCCTGAGCTACAGTTCTGGCGGCCAATCACTGGTGAGGAGGCGGAGCCGAGCAGCCGCGCAAACATCCAGTGGATGAACCGAAGGAAGGAGCAGCCGCGCTTCCTGGACCGGATCGTCGTGGGACCGGAGCCAGGTAAGAGACAGCAGCCCCCTGCCCACCCCTGTACTTAGTGTCCCTTCTGTTGGAAGGGGGGGGGGGGGGGGGGCGGCGGCACCGCGCCGCCCCCCTAAAATGTGTCAGCATGCCGTTACCGGCGTATAAGACGACCCCCAACTTTTGAGAAGATTTTCAAGGGGTAAAAAGTCGTCTTATACGCCGGAAAATACGGTACATATATATATTTGTATTTTTTTTAACTTAAAGTTTTCATTAAAATAATACCTGCCATAAAGAACAATGTTCAAGCACTCCCTGTTATGGGGTGACAACGCTCTGTCAGCTCAAGCATGTCGCATAGGCTTTCAACAGAGACTACATGCGGTCACTTTTCCACAACTTACAGCAGCAACTGAGAAAGATCAGTAGCAATGAGATGTAACAAAACAAAAAATGTGAAAAGAATTAACTAATAATAAAAAAAAAAAAATGATTGGCTTTAGCAATCTAAATATCATTCAGTTAGGGTTCACATCCACATTAATGACTATCTCCCCGTGTGACTTCAGACCTGTCAATTGGCTGCTAAGATAACGGTTTCTTGGGAGGAATGGAATAGGGTCACATGCTCCCCATGCTCAAAGATGCCCTAATTTTCTCAGCACTCTTGCCGAAAACGGAGCAGCAGGGGAAGAGTGGCAAAGTGGAGAAGGGGTGCTCTATCAAAAGACCCTAATATTTTAAAGCTTTTGCTCCCATCTTTTGCAGTAATATTACTACATGATCTCTGCACCCTTCCACTTACCAGCTGGTCTGTATAGTCATCAGTATCTGTGGAGTCATCAGATGATCTTTCCATATCTCTGTAAAAAAAAAAAAAAAAAAAAAAAAAAAAAAAAAAAAAAACTCATATTCCTCATATGAATCAAACCTGTACGCACGCACGCACACACACTAGTAGATGAACACTGGGAACAGCGTTACTATGTAAAGGATTCCATTCCAAAGACAGTGCAGGAAATAAATGTGAATATCTGGGGCAGCATTATTAAGAAAAAAAAATAAGAATAATCAGAATGAAAAGCACCACTATCTCCAATGACCAATGCAATGGGCCTTCATAAAAAAAAAAAAAAAAAAAAAAAAAAAAAACACAGGATGCCCACCCTGGTTGGGCTGGTCAGCTCTGCCTTAATGTCATTCACTTTAGAGCCTTTAGTGGAGAATATGACCAATGTCCCACTTACTCAGGAAATACCCCATATTTCTGGGTATAGGGTTGCATTTGAACTCTTTCCATTCACAGCAACAAAACAAAAAGGAATTTGGAGAAGGCAGAGAGTAGTAGAGGGCACATTTCTGAGTTAAGAACACATACTTGAAAAAAAAATTTTTTTTTAAACCAGAGTTTAGTTTACCTTTAACTCTGAACGATATCAAATTTACACAAAGTCTAGACCCACAGTTCCAACAGAGGGGGGGGGGGAGATTTACTAAAACTGGAGAGTGCAAAATCTGGTGCAACTCTGTATAGAAACCAATCAGCTTCCAAGTTTTACTGTCAAAGCTAAATTGAAGTTAGAAGCCGATTGGCTACCATGCACAGCTGCACCAGATTCTGAGTGCTTCAATTTTAGCAGTTGTAGGGTTAGCAATAGAACCAGTCTCTTTGCCCTGAATAAAATATTCTTTTATGGCACAGCTATGTTTTCAAAATAACAAAATTTTAATGTCACAAAAAAGTGTTCTCTTGATTTACATCTTTTATGACCACATCATTTGCATTCCATCCACACCTCATCCTGCCACTGATATTCTGGAAGGCTTCTGACTCTCATATAGAGAGGAGCTCAGTAGTGTAGAATTCAAACACTGAAAGCACAGAGACCTTTGTGTTTATTTGTGTTACAATGTCATTTTCACATGAAATTGTAATGCATACTTACTGGTGTTCTGATGCCGATCTGTTAAAGGCATTGGCACTTAGCATTTGGAATATGGCACAGATAACCACTATTCTCATCACCACACATTTTTACTTAAAGTGTTACTAAACCCAGGGCCCTGCATTCACTATATCTGGTCTCCTACAGTAATTAAAATACAATTATTTTCATAAATATAAAAACTGCTAAATACCTTTTCTCATCAGCAGTTAGAGCAGTCTTGTGACTTCAGCTGACTACTGGTTAAAACTTGTAGGAGGAGTTTTCTTTCTGCTCTAGGAGGACGCAAAACCCTTAACCTCCGTCTGGACAGTACTGATTAGGCCTTCTGCTGATCACATGCACTTTCCCAAGAAATAAAAAAACCTCTCCAGCAATACACACTAAACTGAGCATGTAGCTATGGGTTCAGTCTGTCTTATTAGAAGATAAAACATGGACATTTGATTAGAGGAGGGGCAGAGAAGACAGGATCAAATGACCTTTTTACACAGTGCAGATAATTAACCCCTTAGGTTCCACAGTGAGTATAACAAGTGGGTTTACGAACACTTTAATACAAATGATCTAACGACTATACTGGTACAATCTGTGCACAACAGAACAACAAAGTGGCTGGGGGTTGGATCGCAAAGCTGCTCTCTTACTGCCTTCATCTATCCATGGGCTCTGCTGTTTGCAAACAAGGAATACACTTTGAGGAAGGAGGAAAGATATGAGTGCAATGGTACTCCTTCATTTACCAGTCAAAGTCCAAAGTTGGGAAGGTGACTAGGCTAAGGAGCTTAACTGCAGTACAGGAAACCAGGGCCATTGTAAAAGAATCATGGGGGTGGGGAGGGGGAGAAACAGCATGGCAAGGTACAGGGGAATCACGGATATACGGGAAGCAGTACGGAACAGTGTGGGTGGGTCAGGAGGGCATAGTATAGGGACAGTAGGGCACAGTGTGGGTCAGTCAGAAGGGCACAGTGTGGGAGGATAAGTGCCGGTTCACATATATGCGGATTGAATACAGTTTGAACCACAGCCAATCCGCATGACATGTGAAAAAACATTGCTTTCTATGGTGCCTGTTCACAGATGTCCGGTGCACTGGCGGTGCAGATTCAGTGCAGTTTTAAAAAGAGTCCTGTACGATTTCTGAGCAGTGCGGTCCGGTTCAGGTGCTGATTACACGCTATTGACTTCAATGGGAACCGTTTCTAAACCGCATATGTGTGAACAGGATAAGATCCTGAGCTTATCCTGTCCTGAACCTGACATGAACCGGTGAACAACTTCTGTATCAATTATCTGTGATACCTGAGCTTCAATCCGCACCGCACATGTGTGAATCAACTCTAAGGAGGGCACAGTACTGGGGGCAGTATGGCACAGTGTGGGTGGGTCAGGTCAGTATATGGGGCAGTAATCTACAATACAGAAATGGTTTCCTGAAGCAGAGCTGTGCAGGGAAGCTGCTGGCACAGATATTACCTGTTATGGCAGGCTGCCATTGGGCTAAACAAACAATCCAGAATTAAATCTCCCCCGTCTACCCACCCCGGGCAGTTTCCTGCATTGGTTCAGAAAGAATCCCCCCCCCCCCAGAGGTGGAGCATTTTACTGACACTGCTTGTGTGGGCGAGATGTGTACTGTTCCCATCCCCACTGGCCTTGCTCTTCTGTCCATCTCTTGTGATGTAAGCTGCTATCCTCATGGCCATCCTGGAACAGTTTGGTAAAAAGCCTATGAATGCCCCAGCAAAGTACGCATATTTAATTTAAGATTATCATGGAGCCCCCATGCGCCTGGTGCCCATGCATTAAGATGGCCCTGCAGAAAACCCAGATCAATACATAGGCTGTACCATCTAAAGTATAGATCTCATGACTGGCTGGACTAAAATTACAACTCAAAGTCAAATATTTTCCCGGCTGGAGGATGTACAACTTCATCTAGCACTTTCCTTTCCAGCCTGACTGTCCCTAGCCCACCCTTTCATTAACTGGAATTGAATTCTTTCAGTTATAGAGACTCCTAGGGCAGTCTGTCTGCAATAGCAGTCTGTTTAGGAAAGCCCACTCCTCCAGATTGACACCCACTCATCAAGGCATTTTGATATTTTCCTAACTCCTGTTGACGGAAGTGAAATGAGGAACCAGGAAAGACAAAAATAGGAGACTGAACATCATCTTTAAACTTTGTATTCCACATGAAACCTAAAAAGACGTTTTAGCGTTAGATAAACTTTTTTGTTTTATTTTTAACTAAAATATATATTTATGATCTCCTGTGAAAAGGGAAATAAGTGGTTCTATTGTAAAGAACGAGCTTACCCATCAGCTCCTATCTTTGCCCGTTTTGCCAAATGTGTATCTTCCAAGGCCTCAACATCCTCATTTTCTCGCAGATAACTTTGAACACTAAAAGCAAGCATAAATTGGTGACATTAATACACAAGTATTAAAAAGATACAAACATAAAACACACGAAAAGGGCAGAATAATGTTTTACTCCTATTAGACATAAAGGCTCACCTTTCTCTACCTGGATTCTGAAGGCATTCCGCTTTCTTCTTCCATACTCGGCACTAAACATATAAACACAGCCATGTGTCATGAACAAGTTTTAACATCACTACACATACACAAGACTCTGCAAACAGTACTCCAGAAGAGCATATTACTGGTATTAGGGTGAAAGACTGGGGTGGCATAATGATCCAAAGCAAAACTTAAAATTTTTTGCATAACTTATTGTTCTTTTCCTCTCACAGTGGCAAGTTTCATTGAAGAAAAAAGAGAAATGATGTGACGCTACTATCTGTGAACAATACCCTAAACGTGAAAAAATATATAATAATAAAAGCATGTTAATATCCATAATGTGGCATGTTGACTCACTGAATATGATGCATAAAGCAAGTGATAATATGGTGCACATGATAAATGCCAAATCAATATTAGTGGACAAATAAACATGCATAAACTGATAAATAAAAACAATGCCTAAACACAGTGTATGTGCATAAACAGCACCGAGCTAAACAACACTCCCACTAATCTGGACTGAATGTCCAATATACACGTGATCCTGAGTTGGCCAATGATCCTATAGGACAATAGGTGCTATAAATCAAGTAGAATAGTGTAAACCCCACATAAAGTGTCATAAATGAATGCATAAACATATATCACATATATAAAATATTAAATGAACCAAACAATTAAACCAATATGTGAAAAAAAAACCAACACATGCCGTGCAAGTGCACAATATGATGATGAAAAACACAAATGTCAAACAAATATATCTGCATGCATATAGTGCAATGAATAAATCTCATCCCGTGCAAGAAAAAATATGAAACACTCTAATATAACACAAAATGTCCAAAATGGGTGTAATCCACATAAAATGTAAATTCTCGTGGACTTGAGTGATACGTGCAGAAAGCGACAAGAGGGCATCAACTGATAGTAAAAATGCATGCTCACCTCCCCACGTTGACCCACACAGGGTCACAATGCTTTTGGGATCTCTAGAAATGGATCCTTCATGTATAGAGCTCCTCTATAACTGCGTCACTTTCTCCTGGGTGGCATCCCTCTTTCAGACAGGTATATGTAATGGCAGACCTCTTCCCCGTAGTACCGTAAGTATGGCCAGTAACTCGCATAGAATATAAGCAGAAGCTCCAATAGTGTAACACTGCTTTTATTATCTTGTATAGGTAACAACAAAATGTACACTCACATATTCCTCCTTGTGAAAAGCATAAACATAAACTGGGCTCAGAGGAAGTCACGAGACCCACGTGACGCAACGCGTAGACGCGAGGTGACGTACTTCTGGTCGGACGCCATCTTTGTGCACCCATTCAGCTACACCCATTGTGAGGGAGATTTCTGTTTATGCTTTTCACAAGAAGGAGGAATATGTGAGTGTACATTTTGTGGTTACCTATACAAGATAATAAAAGCAGTATTACACTATTGGAGCTTCTGCTTATATTCTATGCGAGTTACTGGCCATACTTATGGTCTGGTACTACGGGGAAGAGGTCTGTCATTACATATACCTGTCTGAAAGAGAGATGCCACCCAGGAGAAAGTGACGCAGTTATGGAGGAGCTCTATACATGAAGGATACATTTCTAGAGATCCTAAAAGCGTTGTGACCCTGTTTGGGTCAACGCGGGCAGGTGAGCGTGTATTTTTACCATCAGTGGATGCCCTCTTGTCACTTTCTGCACGTATCACTCAAGTCCACGAGAATTTACATTTTATGTGGATTACACCCATTTTGGACATTTTGTGTTATATTAGAGTGTTTCATATTTTTTCTTGCACGGGATGAGATTTATTCATTGCACTATATGCATGCAGATAGATTTATTTGATATTTGTGTTTTTCATCATCATATTGTGTACATGCACGGCATGTGTTGGTTTTTTTTTCACATATTGGGTTTAGTTGTTTGGTTCATTTAATATATGTGATATATGTTTATGCATTCATTTATGACACTTTATGTGGGGTTACAATATTCTGCTTGATTTATAGCACCTATTGTTGTCCTAATAGGATCATTGGACAACTCACAGTCACGTGTATATTGGACATTCAGTCCAGATTAGTGGGAGTGTTGTTTAGCTCGGTGCTGTTTATGCACATACACTGTGTTTGGGCATTGTTTTTTATTTATCAGTTTATGCGTGTTTATTTATTTGTTCACTCATATTGATTTGGCATTCATCACGTGCACCATATTATCACACTTGCTTTATGCATCATATTCAGTGAGTCAACATGTCACATTATGGATATTAACATGCGTTTATGATTATATATTTTTTCACGTTTAGGGTATTGTTCACAGGTAGTAGCGCCAAATCATTTCTCTTTTTTACAATTTGATCTATCATTAGGTATATGATTGGATGTTGGCAGCTTTATTAGATCTTCTTAGTATAGGCTTAGTAGCGCAGGAGGTTTACATACTATAAGTTTCATTGAAGGCAGATGGATCCATCTCCCTTTACTTTCCAGAACTCTGGGTCTGCTTCCTGGAACATGTAACTGTACATTATCTGGGGGGGGGGGGGGGGGGGGGGGGCCTCTCTCATAAGAAATCTTGTAAGATTTCACAAAATCCCTCAGTTTACAGATAACATTTTCCAAGACAACAATGCAGCCTCCCCAGGATGTAGCTGTGAGGCCAGGGCTATGTCACCAGTGCCCTCCCTTAAGCAGGAATTCGAAAAGCAGTACTTGAAAGTAATAGCAAAAAAATGCTTGTTTAACTAATGAATGTAGAACTGAAGGCAAAACGTTTTTTCATTTTGAATAGTATAAGGGAGGGTTATTACCTCTCTATTTTTTTGCTGCCATGTGTCCAACTGGGGAGATTTTGCTTCATCTCCTGTTCCATGCCAAATGAGAAACAAATTTCTCTAAAGGCAGGGAATCCCTGATTGTCACCAGATCTAGTGTCCCAAATGTAAAATTTCCCCTCTATTACTGTTCTAGGGAAAACCCAAAATTTGGGATTTTCTTTCACTTTCTGCAAGAACGGTAAACAAAAATGGCGGCTTCAGGAAATTCAGGGACTTCAGAAGGACTATTTTAATGAAACGCATTGAAGTGCATGTTGCTGTCATTTCCAATTCCCGTGTGACGTCACACATCTGGTCTTAGACTCCCAGTAATTGGAACGCATGTCAGCTCATGCAAACAGAGCGGTCTCATATTAATGCAGCTGTTTACACTTAAAGGGGCAGCTGCCCTTAATATAATTTGATACACAAACATCCCACATTAATTTTTTTTTTAACCAGAAAAAAATTAAACACTAGGGAATAACAAGGTGGAAGATAGGACGGCGTCACTTTAATGGTTTATTTATTTTTACTGTTATATCATAACTCTGCATGCAGTAACATGAGTCTGTTTAATATAGATATGATTAAAGATATCATTTACCTTCACTTATCACTTTTTGTTGCACTTCTGGGACTGAATGTGTAAGGAAAAACTCCCCAATGGGAAACAGTAAGAAATAACCTGGCAGAGGTTTTTAATTATAACTAAAGTCAAAACATCTTTTTTAGATCTAGATGAAGCTGTGAGGGGTTTTGAACAGTCAGCATTTTTTTAGTGCAGTCTGTGTCCCCATTAGGGAGATTTTCTCTCTCTCTAACTGTCCTAATCTGCACCCAAGTGCACTTTTTAGTGTTTGTGTGTTGCACTAGCACGTTTTTTGTTCACTTACGGGTTTTTGTTTTTCGCACCTCCGTGGACTTAAAAAAAAGAAAAGAAAAAAGAAGGGATTTCCCTCACATTAGAAAGATATCTTCTCACTTCCTTTTGAGTCTAGAGGATGTGATTGAATGGAAATCTAATGAGACACAGACAGCAGAAAACTGACAGTGGTTTTAATCTTCCTCTACTCTATCCAAAATAAAAATAAATAAATAAAAAAAAAAAGGGGATTTTGCTTTTATCTTTATGGATTCCTTACTCTATTCAGAAACAAAAGATTACACGTCCTATGCAGGTTTTATTTTATTGGTTTTGAATTAAACGGTGTTAATAAAACTGTACCAAGGGTGACGGAATCTATTGATATAAACCAGCAATAAAGAAGTCTGTATCAGCTGCTATTTGGTAAAGAGACACATGCATATAAAACTATGTAAAGTCAATGATACCTGAATGTCTTCTGCAGATCAGCAGCTACAACTGAAATATCCACATATCCTCCACATCGATTACTGCTCAGATACTGCAATACAAAGACAGGGTAATAAAAGTCTTGTGTGTTCAGGACGATGGATTCAAGCAGGTCTGGAAACATAACATCTACAATACAACATACAAAGAAACTTCACAACTTATAAAAAGCTGAACTCCAGTCCTCTTCTCAGTCTTGCACAGTTGTAGAGGCTCCTCTCTTGTACTGAAATTGCGTACTCCGATTTTAGTGCACACTATTACAAGATTACAGTGTGCTTTCAGACACAGCCCTAGTCAAAGATTTTGAGAAGGACACAAATATTAAGTCTGCTGCCTCAGTTTTTATGATGGCAATTTGCATATACTCCAGAATGTTATGAAGAATGATCAGATGAATTGCAATTAATTGCAAAGTCCCATGAAAATTAACTTAATTCCCCCCCAAAAAAAAACACTTCCACTGCATTTCAGCCCTGCCTCAGAAGGACCAGCTGACATCATGTTAGTGATTCTCTCGTTAACACAGGTGTCAGTGTTGACGAGGACAAGGCTGGAGATCACTCTGTCATGCTGATTGAGTTAGAATAAGACTGGAAGCTTTAAAAGGAGGGTGGTGCCTAAAATTATTGTTCTTCCTTGGTTAACCATGGTTACCTGCAAGGAAACACATGCAGTCTTTTTTGCACTAAAAGGGATTCACAGGCAAGGATATTGCTACTACTATGATTGCACCTAAATTAAAAATTTATTGGATCATCGAGGAGAGCGGTTCAATTGTTGTGAAGAAGGCTTCAGGGCGCCCAAGAAAGTCCAGCAAGCGCCAGGACCATCATCTAAAGTGGATTCAGCTGAGGGATCGGAGCACCATCAGTGCCTCTCATAGTGCAGATAGTTAAAACACCATTTATAGGACGGAGGAGGAGCCTACCTTGTGACGTCATCTCGTAAGAATCGCCATTTTTACCATTCCTTGTTGTTTGAGGATTTATGATCACTATACAGTCATGTTGGTTGTAAATGCGTTTCATTTTGTCCAATAAATGGTCTTTTAAACTATCTGCACTATGAGAGGCACCTTTTTTTTTTTATATGAGTGTATGTCAACCCTACGAGATCGGGACAGCCTGAGGAGCCTTTGACGATATATGTGGTCTAACTTGATCTATATGAGTCTGGATAGAAGTATTCAAAACAGGCATTTGATGACCCCTATAGTTAAGGGGTCAAAGGATCTGGTAAGCCTCCAATTTGTCATTCACAATTTTGCCTAAGAACACAGCCATGAATAAAGAATGGTACAAAAACATCTCCGAAAGCAACTTCTCTCAACCATTAAAGAACAGTTTGGTGACTAACAATGCCTTTTCCAGTATATTAGAGCACCTTGCCATAAGGCAAATGTGATAACTAAGTGACTTGGGGAACCAAACATCAAAATTGACCTGAGTCACTGCCGGGAGAGGGGAAGCTGACCTACAGAGTCACTGCCGGGAGGGGGGAAGCTGACCTACAGAGTCACTGCCGGGAGGGGGGAAGCTGACCTACAGAGTCACTGCCGGGAGGGGAAGCTGACCTACAGAGTCACTGCCGGGAGGGGGGAAGCTGACCTACAGAGTCACTGCCGGGAGGGGGGAAGCTGACCTACAGAGTCACTGCCGGGAGGGGGGAAGCTGACCTACAGAGTCACTGCCGGGAGGGGGGAAGCTGACCTACAGAGTCACTGCCGGGAGGGGGGAAGCTGACCTACAGAGTCACTGCCGGGAGGGGGGAAGCTGACCTACAGAGTCACTGCCGGGAGGGGGGAAGCTGACCTACAGAGTCACTGCCGGGAGGGGGGAAGCTGACCTACAGAGTCAATGCCGGGAGGGGGGAAGCTGACCTACAGAGTCACTGCCGGGAGGGGGGAAGGCTGACCTACAGAGTCACTCTGACCGACTGAGGGAGAAGCAGAGGATGCTGAACCATTGAGTTTGTAGCCAGGTGCTGCCTATATCATTATACAATTCGGGGGGGGGGGGGGGAGGGTGTCAACCCCCCCCCCCCCCGTGCCCAGTACTAGGACTGCTTCACCACTTCCTGTTAGCAGAGTGGATTCAGTTTTTCTGACAGCAAAGGATCTTGGGACCTGTAGTCCTATAGCCAACACATACTGTATTCCTGATTGCTGACTGACCTACAACCGCCAGCATGGATGCTGGGAGAGCAGATATATTCTACAGCAAGGGCCTGGCTCGCTATCTTGGTGTGGGATTCAGAGCTGAACACTGGGGACTGTTGGTCTCCTTCACAGACAGTTTGATGGCCTACAACTGCGGAACTCTGCACATCAGTTAAGCACAGATCGCCAAACCGGGGAATCGCATCAGCTTTTCTGCATTGGGACTGTCACTGTCCAAACTTCACACAGACATCTCTGCTTCCTGCGCTGGCAGGCCATCAGGTGGTAACTCTGTACACCCCTGCAAACAGCCAAGAGCCTGAGCAAGAACCCTGTTCCTAGAAGGTTATGCTATCCATGGGATTGGTAAGCGGGCAGATGCCCAACCTCTGTTATGACTCTAGAGACACTGCATGCAGACACCTTGACACCTCAGTTACCAGGAGATCATTACTTTGAGCAATACCACAGCCTGTGTAATTTAATTAAATTACCAGTATTCACTAATGTTTATGGGCCCCACCATTGCTAGAAAAAGACGACACCACCATATCAGGAACTTTAAACATCACAGAAGTCAAGTTGTAATCTCTAGTTAAAGGGAACTTTTCTTTTTAAGGTCAGTAATATTAAAATTGGGGGATACTTACATCTATTCATTTCAGAGTATACATTTACATAACAAATAAGTCAACAAGCCTTTTATTCTGCCTCTTGCTGCTGGTGTTGCAGTTTAATTGTTGAAGCTTACTACTCATGACTGTATAACCTGTTAAATGTTGCTAACTGATTTTTTCTATTTTACCAGTGTTCTGTTTTATGCGTTAACTGGGGTTGTATATCCTAAACCCATTAATCCTGTGGCCTACTCTTTTGAACAAGTCTAATATAGAGGTGTTACTAAAGAAAAGTGTCTCTTGCATTATTATTCTGTACTAATGAAATATGTCTGAGCCCAGAGTGTGAGAGGCTTACTAGGTCAGGGCAAGTCACTGCTGGGAGGGGAGGGGGCTTACTAAACTGCATATTGGGATGACTGGATTATTGGCTACAATACTCAACACTCTCATTAGCAGTAGTGGCTAATGTTTAACTTGCTGATAAATATGCAGCTGTACAATGTAATCATAGTAAATTATACAGAAATAATGGGGACATTATTCAATACATTTCTAAGAATAGATTTAATGATGTTATACAGTATATGTATGCGTGAAGTACTACATTTTGAACTGTTTTATTAGGAACCTGGAAAATGAAGTTTCAAAAATGAAGATTATAAATAAAAATTGCCAAGGAAAAAAATTGATGCGATTCTGATAAAAAATGTAGTTATTATTGATCTGCATGGGGATTATGGATGAAACATAATGGTTACACATCCCACGTAATACATTTCACCTTTTTAGATAAGAATATGGGAAAAATTACTTTTATATATGGGGATCATAGGGAATAGGATGGTTACACTTAATGAACATATTTAATCTATTTTGGATAAGAAAATACATATAATTTTTTTTCTGAGTGGAATATTGCGGATACCCATGGCAAGGACCATATTTGACCTGTTTCTGGTAAGAATATAAGTATAGTTATTTTTTAGGGAGGAGCCCAGCTGTTGACGTCACGCCGCACAGCTCGTGAGGAAGGCCAGCGGCCATCTTGCTTATGTGTTTTGCCAGATGTGAGTGCATTCCTTTTGCTATACCAATTTAATATTAAAAAATACTGCACTATCAAGAATTCTTTCTTTGGCTCGTTATTTAATGTGCCCTGAAGGTGGAGTCCTGCAATATACCCACTATGTTCCCATCCAATTGGAACGTGATGTCCCTGGAGTTTGGTTGTGAGGTCTGCTGATCACCTTGTATGCTGACGTGTGCCAGATGATTCTTGACATCCCTATCCACATCCAGATGACCATGATGGGATAATTATACACAAATGTGCTTTTATATTGTGCTTCTGGTTAGTGCAATAGTATATACCAACTTCCAGTCACTCAGTCACAGAATTCACCAATATTTATCATCTCTTTATTTGGACTTTATCATGTTTTTTATGAATCACTAAAGTCACTTTATTTCATTTGATTTTACTTTACGTATGTATACACCATACTGATAGGTCATATCTAGATGATACCACTGCATATCACTTTTAGCGCCTGCACCTATTTTTCACTTTATCAGTTCCTTAGCTGCATTTCTGTCTTACATAGTTATTTTTCTACATGGGGATTATGGGTGGATTATTGTGGATACACATGACAAGAACCATATTTGACCTGTTTCTGATAAAGATATGGGTATAGTTTTTACTACATGGGGATTACTTCTGATACGAATATGCACATAATTATGTTTTTATATGGGTGGAATATCATGGTTACACATTCCAAGGAACTTATTTAACCTGTTTCTGATAAGAATATGGGACTAATTATTTTTCTACATGGTACATATGGGTGAAAGATCATGGTTAAACATGCCTAGGAACACATTTGACCTGTTTTTGATAAGAATGTGAGAATAGTTATTTCTACACATGGGGATTATGAGTGGATTATTGTGGATACACATGCCAAGGACCAAATTACTTTTCGTCATAAATTTACGCCAAAATGTATTCTGCTACATATCTTTGCTAAAAAAAAAATCCCAATACGTGCAAATGAATTGGTTTACATGAAAGTTATAGCGTCTACAAATGGCGGTATATATACTGGGCTTTTTTTTTTTTTTTTTCACTAGTAATGGCGGCGATCAGCGACTTATAGGGGGACTGTGGAGGGCATTCTGACACTGGGGGGAACTGACTTTGTGTCACTGACATCCCCAGTGACACCAATATAGTGATCGGTGCTAATAAAAAGTACTGACACTGTACTAATGGCACTGGGCAGGAAGGGGTTAACACGTGGGGCGATCAAAGGGTTAACTGTGTGTTGTGTACTAGGAGCTGTGTTAGTGCTCCACTGTAAGCACACTGCTTTACATGGGTCTGCTATGTACAGCCATGCAAAGCAGTGTGCAGGAGAACTGTTTTGTTTACAAAACTTTCTACCCCCCATCGGAGATGCTTGGCAATCATCGGGTGCCGGCGAGTAATCAGTGGCTGGAACCAGGTGATTGACAGTCGAGGCACAATTAGGGCACGTGTGCCCTCTGGAAATGCATAATCACGTATACATACACACGATTTTGCGCACAGCTGCCGCCCTGTAACAGCTTTTCTGCTATGGGGTGGCGCTAGAGTGGTTAAAAATGAGCTGCTACAAAACCTGTCGCAGGGTCCAGTGATGTGCCGTCCCTTTTCTTCTCTCCACAGCGCCGGCATCTCAGCTGTAGGCACCAGGCTGTGACAGCTTGCGGCTTCACTCCACGAGTTGCGCTGCGCCTCCTGATTACTCAGGCAGTCTTCTGGGACCTATGAAGGTTCCCCGGAGACTGTGGGAGGAAGGAGGGGGGCCAAATTTCTGGCTTACTTTGAACTGAGCTGGAAGTGGGGGTGGGGTACCTGCCAAAACCAGGTACCTGCTCCCCCAAAAGGTGCCACATATGGCAGTGGAGGGGGGGGGGGAGGAGGCAAACAAGTGGAGCTTCCACTTTTGGGTGGAACTCCACTTTAAACATTAGCCACTACTTCCTGCAACAAAGTATCAAATAGTGCAGAAAATAAAAACATATTTTGAGCAAAAACTGAGTCATTGCTATACATGTGTGTAAAAATATTTGTGACACCTAAGGAGAGTGCTGAGCATTGCAGCCAATTATCCCAATATGCAGCTTAGCCCACGGATCAAATTCAAAATCCTAACACTGACGTACAAAGCTGTCCACCACACTGCCCCAATAACCAAGTACCACCCAGCACGCACACTCGGCTCCTCACAAAACCTCCTTCTCTCTAGTTCCCTGGTCTCCTCCTCCCATGCCCGCCTTCTGGACTTCTCCAGGGTGTCACCCATCCTCTGGAACTCCCTGCCCCAACCCATCAGATTATCATCTACTCTCCTCTCCTTTAGGCGCACCCTGAAAACCCATCTCTTCAGGGAAGCCTACCCCACCCCCTGCTAACCTGCCGACCTCCTCCACTCTTCCTACCACTCCATCCCCACAGCTATCTCCTCCTGTGCCATCATCCCCTCCCTCCTAGATTGTAAGCTCGAAAGAGCAGGGCCCTCAATCCCCTCATGTTTTGCATTGTATTGGTATTGTTCTGTCACATGTTCTGTCCCCCTTTGTAATGTACAGCGCTGAGCGAACTATTGGCGCTTTATAAATACTGTATAATAATATTAGTACGTCCCGAGGGGGGGCTCAGTTATAAATCACCCAGTAACATGAGAGAGAGCAGCTTGTGTACTGTGTGTGCTGTACATGGACAGCGGTGTCTGTATACAGGAAGGTCACTATATGGCGGGGTATATATTCTCCTCCCCTACCTGGGTGAGCCGGTGCTTCAGCCTCCGGTCTATTCCCGGTGATACCGGTCGGATCTTCATATTGCGGTCTGTATATCTGTTCCCGGAAGCGCTTACCACCATCACCACACACGTGGGACGGGGTCCTCACACGCGGCTGTTCCCGGATGTGCCTGACAACACATGTCTTTACACGGGCCGTCTACATATGTGCCTGACCAGACGGGTGTCGACATTTACACCCACATTGGAATACAGAAACCCTGCAGCTTCATATTATATCACAGCGTGCCAATCTATGTTATTTGCTGTAACGTATAGGTATCTATTGTACCGCCTGCTTCGGTGATTACCCACAGTTGTCATGAACGTTGCCTGTTACGTAGGATTTTATTTTATTATGTGAAGTTTGCTTGCAAATCCAAGTCACAGCCGCAGTGAGAAGTAATGAGCAGAAATATTTTATTCCACAAGTAGCGAACTATGAATAGTATGCGGTAGTCATGGTAACATTGCTCCGCCCCTCCACCGGGGCTCTGGCCGGATCCTGGGATCACGTGACGCCCTTCTCCACAGGTCTCCGGGTCACGTGGTGCGGGAGAAGGAGCGGCTGGCGGGATGGAGGCCGCGCTCTTCATCTTCTCTCTCATAGACTGCTGCGCCCTCATCTTCCTCTCCGTCTACTTCGTATCCTTCGTGTGTGGCGGCTGATGGTTCGCAGTATGAACTCCGAGCCGGGGTGGGGGAGGTGAACGGGTGTGATGTATATGAGTGCTGGGGGGGGGGGGCTGACCATAGAAACCAGAGATGTTGCTATGGACAACAGCCTTAGTTTGGGCATGTGTGGTAATTCCTTGCACCAGCCAATCAGTATGTGGTGGGGGGGGCACAGGCAAGGTGTGTCTCGTCTGTCAGCCATATCACCCATCCTGTGTAGGAGGAGGATGATGGTGGTGTTGGTGTGTCAGCTGTGTGTGGTAAGCGTTACGTCGCTCTGTGTCACTATGAGCTATTTCTAATCCTTCTGCTGCTAGCATTAGTATACATAGGAGGCTATATTATATTTACTTGTTTTAAACTTTTTTTTTTTTTACATTTCTTCAGTTCCTGGTTTCTTGCCTAGGCAAATTATGTCCTACATCACAGGAGCCTTCAGGAGAGGAGGAGGGGCTTTCTCAGCTAAGCACACCCTCCTGCCTGCATGTCTGAGCTAAGAGCAGATGGATTCCAGGAAGTAAATGCTACATGAATCATCTGCCCTTACTCAACATGGCCACAGCCAGAAAGTCTAGCCAGTTTTTTTCAAAGTGATTTCTCAGCAAAAAAATGCATTGACTATTTTTAATCCTTAGGCCCCTTTCACACGGGCATTCCGTATGTCTGCTCTTCATCTGTCTGTTTATGGATGGAAAAACAGACACCCATGTATTTCTATGGACTGGCGGATGATCATCTGCTAATGTCTGTATTCGTAAACATTGGGGATGCACCGAAATGTCAGCCACTGAAACATATCGGCCGAAAATAGTCAGATCGGAAAAATGTAGCCGATACAGGAGACTGTGTGTACTGCAGATGTGAGGGGGGGGGGGGGGGGCCGCTGAGAAAGGCAGGAGAGGAGCCGTGTACACAGGGACTGGCTGTCACTATACGTCAGTGCCGGTTTTTAAATTCAATTTCCGGCTTCTTTTTTTCTTCACTATAGCTCACGGAATTAGCTGCCACTTCCCAGCTAAAATAAACAAAGTTTCCTTTTAGTTTCCCCCCCCCAGCTAAAAGAAACAATGTTTCCTTTTAGTTTCTTTCCCCCCCCCAGCTAAAAGAAACAATGTTTCCTTTTAGTTTCTAGCTAAAAGAAACAATGTTTCCTTTTAGTTTCTTTCCCCCCCAGCTAAAAGAAACAATGTTTCCTTTTAGTTTCTTTCCCCCCCAGCTAAAAGAAACAATGTTTCCTTTTAGTTTCTTTCCCCCCCCCAGCTAAAAGAAACAATGTTTCCTTTTAGTTTCCCCCCCCCCCCAGCTAAAAGAAACAATGTTTCCTTTTAGTTCCCCCCCCCCCCCCCCAGCTAAAAGAAACAATGTTTCCTTTTAGTTCCCCCCCCCCCCCCAGCTAAAAGAAACAATGTTTCCTTTTAGTTTCCCCCCCCAGGCTAAAAGAAACAATGTTTCCTTTTAGTTCCCCCCCCCCAGCTAAAAGAAACACTGTTTCCTTTTAGTTTCTTTCCCCCCCAGCTAAAAGAAACAATGTTTCCTTTTAGTTTCTTTCCCCCCCAGCTAAAAGAAACAATGTTTCCTTTTAGTTTCTTTCCCCCCCAGCTAAAAGAAACAATGTTTCCTTTTAGTTTCTTTCCCCCCCAGCTAAAAGAAACAATGTTTCCTTTTAGTTTCTTTCCCCCCCCCAGCTAAAAGAAACAATGTTTCCTTTTAGTTTCTTTCCCCCCCCAGCTAAAAGAAACCAATGTTTCCTTTTAGTTTCTTTCCCCCCCCCCAGCTAAAAGAAACCATGTTTCCTTTTAGTTTCTTTCCCCCCCAGCTAAAAGAAACAATGTTTCCTTTTAGTTTCTTTCCCCCCCCAGCTAAAAGAAACCAATGTTTCCTTTTAGTTTCTTTCCCCCCCCAGCTAAAAGAAACAATGTTTCCTTTTAGTTTCTTTCCCCCCCAGCTAAAAGAAACAATGTTTCCTTTTAGTTTCTTTCCCCCCCAGCTAAAAGAAACAATGTTTCCTTTTAGTTCCCCCCCCCAGCTAAAAGAAACAATGTTTCCTTTTAGTTCCCCCCCCCCAGCTAAAAGAAACACTGTTTCCTTTTAGTTTCTTTTCCCCCCAGCTAAAAGAAACAATGTTTCCTTTTAGTTTCTTTCCCCCCAGCTAAAAGAAACAATGTTTCCTTTTAGTTTCTTTCCCCCCCAGCTAAAAGAAACAATGTTTCCTTTTTAGTTTCTTTCCCCCCCCCAGCTAAAAGAAACAATGTTTCCTTTTAGTTTCTTTCCCCCCCAGCTAAAAGAAACAATGTTTCCTTTTAGTTTCTTTCCCCCCCAGCTAAAAGAAACAATGTTTCCTTTTAGTTTTCTTTCCCCCCCAGCTAAAAGAAACAATGTTTCCTTTTAGTTTCTTTCCCCCCCAGCTAAAAGAAACAATGTTTCCTTTTAGTTTCTTTCCCCCCCAGCTAAAAGAAACAATGTTTCCTTTTAGTTCCCCCCCCAGCTAAAAGAAACAATGTTTCCTTTTAGTTCCCCCCCCAGCTAAAAGAAACAATGTTTCCTTTTAGTTCCCCCCCCAGCTAAAAGAAACAATGTTTCCTTTTAGTTCCCCCCCCAGCTAAAAGAAACAATGTTTCCTTTTAGTTCTCCCCCCCCAGCTAAAAGAAACAATGTTTCCTTTTAGTTTCTTCCCCCCCCCAGCTAAAAGAAACAATGTTTCCTTTTAGTTTCTTTCCCCCCCAGCTAAAAGAAACAATGTTTCCTTTTAGTTTCTTTCCCCCCCAGCTAAAAGAAACAATGTTTCCTTTTAGTTTCTTTCCCCCCCCCTAAAAGAAACAATGTTTCCTTTTAGTTTCTTTCCCCCCCCCCCAAAAGAAACAATGTTTCCTTTTAGTTTCCCCCCCCCGCTAAAAGAAACAATGTTTCCTTTTAGTTTCTTCCCCCCCCAGCTAAAAGAAACAATGTTTCCTTTTAGTTTCTTCCCCCCCCCCCAGCTAAAAGAAACAATGTTTCCTTTTAGTTTCTTTCCCCCCCCAGCTAAAAGAAACAATGTTTCCTTTTAGTTTCTTTCCCCCCCAGCTAAAAGAAACAATGTTTCCTTTTAGTTTCTTTCCCCCCCAGCTAAAAGAAACAATGTTTCCTTTTAGTTTCTTTCCCCCCCAGCTAAAAGAAACAATGTTTCCTTTTAGTTTCTTTCCCCCCCAGCTAAAAGAAACAATGTTTCCTTTTAGTTTCTTTCCCCCCCCAGCTAAAAGAAACCATGTTTCCTTTTAGTTTCTTTCCCCCCCAGCTAAAAGAAACTATGTTTCCTTTTAGTTTCTTTCCCCCCCCCCCAGCTAAAAGAAACTATGTTTCCTTTTAGTTTCGTCCCCCCCCCAGCTAAAAGAAACAGTTTCCTTTTCGTTTCTTTCCCCCCCAGCTAAAAGAAACAAAGTTTCCTTTAGCTTTGGGGAAAATGACAGCTAATTCTGTGAGCTATAGTGAAGGAAAAAAAAAGCCGGTCAACATATAGTGACAGCCAGTGAGGGAGCCTCACTGTAGGCACTGCCCCCCAAAGAGGACCTGTCACTCATATGCTATCACATAGGGGACTATTGGTGATAGCAATAAAATCATAAGTAAAAAAATAAAAATATACATGAAAGTAGAAAAAAATACAAAAACAAATTGGAGCCTCTCTTCCCCCACATACGCAGACATTTCAGTTTCGGTTCGGTTTGGTGTTTGGCCACATGCATTCTGAATTTTCGATATCGGTTTTGGGACCAGAATTTTCATTTTGGTGCACCACTAGTTAACATTTGTTTGTTTTTTTAAAAAACCCTAGTTTTCTTCCGTTTTAAAAAAAAAAAAAAAAGAAGAAAAACAGACAAATGATGTGAACTGATCTGTTTTTTCTTGGAAAAAACGTGACTAAACTGATGAAAAAACTTAACGCCATGTAAATGGGGCCTTATGCTGCTATTTTTAGTAAATAGGAAGGTTTATCACATTTAGTTTTTTAAACTTTTTTTTTCCCTGAAGTTTCTTCAGTTACGTCCTGGTTTACAGGCCTAGGCAAATGACATCCTACATCCCAGGAGTCTTCAGGAGGCGAGGAGGAGCTTTCTCAGCTAAGCATACACTCCTGCCTGCCTGAGCCAAAGGTAGACAGATTCCTGGAAGTAAATACATGAATCATCTGCCCTCACTCAAGATGGTCATTTTTTTCAAATGATTTCTCAGCATTATAAAGCACGAAGACTTGGATGGATGGGGGGTTTGCTGCGCATAATAAAAATGATTTAAATAGTGTTTTCAGTTTGTGGGGCTCAGATGTGGTGTAGTTTACTTATCTCACCTGTGTATACCTGTTATGTTCCTTGTCTCTCACACACTGTATATAGGCCAGGAATGTCACCTATTGGTTGTGTCACAGACATGTCCCTTGTCTCTCATACACTATATAGGTCAGGAATGTCACCTATTGGTTGTGTCACAGACATGTCCCTTGTCTCTCACATGTGTGTCTATCAGACCTATTCCCCCATCATGTGTGTTATTCTTTGTGTCACTGACTTGTCCCTCATTGTTCATGTTTGTCGGTCATGTCATATAAGATGTGTATAACCAGCATGCTCCTTGTTGGTTGTGTGTGCCGGTGATGTGTCCCTTGTCTTCCATATGTGTATGTCAGATGTTACCCATTATGTGTAAAGCAAGTGTATCATTTGTGTGTGTTACTAGTCCATCTCTTGTATGTTTGGCATGCCACCTATTCGTTGTGTGTGTTACTGGCGTGTCCTTTTTGTCATGTATGTCAGATATATCCCATCCTGTTTGTATATTATTACAGGTATGATTACAGAGTGTTGGCTGTGTTTGTCCGTGACATGTCCATCGTCTCAAGTACAGGAATACCTCTGTTCACGAACTTAATTCATTCCATGACTCTGGTCGCGAACCGAATCAGTATGAAGAGAGAACACTAACCTTGCTTGAGAAGACTT